GACGGCCTCCTTATTATCGACGGCCTCCTTATTATCGACGGCCTCCTTCTCCCCGATCTCATCGACAGCTTGAACTAGGAAGAGATACAAATAGGAATACCGCCTGGGACTGTTATCCGGAAAATTCGTGTAGAGTTTTGAAGCTAACTCGCAGCTCCTCCTCGCAGACTAATTGACGAACAAGGCAACGACATCACAGCAATCGGAGCAAAGGGCGAGCTTTTAGTGAGAGGTCCTACGATCACGAGAGGCTACTACCGGAACCCTGCAGCCAACAGAGACGCGTTTGACCAGGACGGGTATTTCAAGACAGGTGACATTGTTTCTTGCGGAAGGATCGCCGACGACAACAACGCTATGCAGCCTGACGTGAGAAATGCCGACGGAAATGTGGGAGAGACGGCAGCCACAGCGAAGTGGTACATCCATGACCGAAAGAAAGAACTGATCAAGGTGAGAGGCTTCCAAGTCTCGCCTGCCGAGCTGGAGAAAGTCCTCTTGCAGCACCCTGCTGTTGCGGACGCAGCGGTCATCGGCGTCAAGGTCTACCGGGATGCCACCGCCTCCTCCAACGATCCCATTGACAGCGGCAAGGATGGAGAGCACCCTCGGGCCTATGTGGTCCTCCGGCCGGGTAAAAGTGCCACGGAAGCAGATGTGAAGGGGTGGTGTGCTCAACATTTGGCCAAATACAAGGCTTTGACCGGAGGGGTGAGATTCATCGACGCTCTACCAAGAAATGCAGGGGGCAAACTCTTGAAGGGCGTGTTGAGAGAGCAGGCTGCAAAGGAAGCTGGATTAGGTGGATCAGAAAGGCGAAACAAGGCTGAGGACGGTCCTTCCATCAGGGCCAAGATTTGATCCTAAGGAAGGATGACTCTCTCTTTTCGGATCAAGCCATCAAAAGAGAGAAACGATATATCTCTTTTGGAGGGGCGCGCAATTCTTCAAGAGAATATCGCTCAGCGTTATTATGGATGAAATTCTTCTCGTCAGCCTGCCGGTAAATGGGGAGGCTGGTTTAGCCAATCAGAGAGCCCCACAGCACAGCCTAAGACTTTATCTGGTTAGATCAAGGACAGATGTGGAATAGTCTAAAGATATCTCGCCTGTGATTGGTTGTCATCCTTTAGAGTAGCCAGAGTGCTTCAGACTGAATCGTAGAAAAACCTGAGGGCGGCGACAGAATCTACTGTATCTCCAAAGCCGGCGATAGCTCCGGAACCAGACAAAGGCTTTCCAACCAGGAGAAGACCAGCAGAGACGTCATAAGGCAAAGTTGGGAACATTGGCTGCGTGCAAGGTAGGTGGGGAGATGTACGGCCACATGGGGACACAGCATGCAAAGAATGACGGAGATGGCAGGGAATCGGGATTATGGATTATAGAGGGGTATGCCCAGGTGAGGGTATGGGATTTGGGGAGATTGGGATGAACAGAGATTCTTGATGATTCTTGCAAGCTCGAGCGCGTCAGCCTCGTCAATAATACCAAGACGCTAAATGGGGCTCTTTATCGATAATGAAACGCGCATGAGGAGTCAAGGGGGTCAATGAGGAGGCCAGAGTTCATCCAGCCTCGCATCCACCTGGTGTGGCTTGAGATAGCCGAGTGTGCGCACCCTCTGACCCCCACCCACACCCTTTCCAACCACGTTGATTTCACCAGGGCCCCGAGAAAATAGAAAGGCAGGCTGTGTCCCAGCTTCTGTTTTGCATGATCATCCTCAGTCAACGAATTCCTTCAACCTCTCTCTCTCGATCACCGCATTGCTGCAGCACTATCGTCCTCTACCAACCTGCGAGCCAAGCTCAAGGCGATTCGTGCGGTGCAGCCCGTACCGAGTGGAAGGCGGGGCAACTCTCTCCTGCGCTTGACCGACTGTGGGCTCAATCGAGAACAACTTTGAGGAGAACACGATCGAGCTGACAACAAGAAGTCTGAACTCTGATCCTCTGATTTGGAGGCGTCGCAATATTGGCTGCTGCGCCTCTGCGCTGTCTCGACTCAAGAGGAGGAAACACCTGAAATTGATCTGCTGTCACCATTTCCCCGTACGGCCCGGACCCTGTCGCCTAGAACCTGGAACCTGCGATCCAACTTGCCAGGCTCGCCAGTTCTTCTCACACCACAATTATTGCATCACCGCGCCGCCCAATGTCCCAAGACATGTTTAATCAAGGGTTCGGAGCCCTGGCACCGCCAAATCCACGCAGATTGCCTTTTGATTTCAATGACAACGACTCTTCGCTATCCCTCCCTCCTCCGCCACCCCCTGCTAGAGGCCACCAACGATCTAGAACCAGCACGGACCTCCCTCCACTATTTACCCGTACTCAGTCTTCCTCCCCAACGAGATCCTCTGCATTTTCCTTCCTGCGCCCTCAGAGCACCCGCTCTTTGTCTCCGGAAAGACTCAGGGCTGCGGAGCTGGGTGAGGACCCTGGTCCAACAGAGTCGCCCACAAAGAGAAAATCGGGTGGATTGGCGAGCTGGTTCGAAGGGTCTTCGGATCCTGTCAATATAAGTCTGGTGCCTTCCCCTCGCAAGGAAAAGCTGGATCCGCTCTATGAGGCCTCCGCTACCGAGGAAGGTTTCTCCATGAGTCCAGATTCCGTGGACGATAACTTAACACGACGAATCCCAAAAAGGCCCACTCTAACAGGCCCAGCTGTTTCAACCATGTCCAAATTCAACAACATGTTCAGGAGGAGTACAATAACACAAGCCGCTCCGGAGGATCCAGATGAGTTGGCGCAGCTTGACATTGACGAGGCTCTTTTCCCGCACGGACACCCCGATGAATTTTCTCCTGCGGCCTTCAAAAACCTCCAGCTAAATGCTGAAGGGACAATCCGCCGCTTTCAACAGGCGTACAAAGAACAGCGCCAGTCTCTCCGATCAGCCACATCCACCAAGAACGTTCAGGCAGATGAACTCGAGGCTGCCCAGACAAGAAATGAGCATTTAAAATTACAATTGCAAGAGATGGCAGAACGAGCAGCAGAGCAGGAGAAGCTAATTGCGGATCTGAGGGCGCAGCTATCAGCACAATTATCTCTCGAATCCCAGCATCAAAGTGTTCGTATGGTGCCCCAGGATATTGATCCCCAACCTCGTCCAAAATACCGCCGCAATCGTTCGTCCGACGTTTCAACATCCGGGGAATCAGAAGCTGGATCTGAAGTGAGTTCGGTGGTCAGCATCTTTTCAGAGGCATTGTCAGCGGCACCTTCTCAGGCTACGTCGATCGGAAGCCCTGTCATGAAGTCCGCAAGCTTGCCTAGAGATGACTGCCCAAGGTGTCATGGATTACGATCCTCGGATGCATGGGACGTGGTTGGCATGATGAAGATGGAGTCAGCAGCTCTCAAACACCGCATTGCCGAATTGGAAAGTGCACAGGACGACGCGCTGGATTTCCTCAGCGGGCTGAGGTTGACCTCGTGACGAGCTATCTCGCAGATTATGAGTTGTAAAGATACCCAGGCGTTTACAGATTGCATTATAGCTTTGCACAGAATCGTTGTGTAAATGCAGATTGATTGTACAGCCAGAGATCCTGGTCACCTATCTAGGTACCCTCGTACAATTCAAGGATTACTGGGTACAAAACCGATTCATATGCGACCCTGACCTCGTCGTGTTTGAGCCCAGGCGATTCCGGGTTCAATGCTTCTGTGAGGCTGTCCAAGGTAATTACGAGGCTTGGCTCTGCACCGCCCATTTGGTGTTTTCCCAGCCACCGAAACCAGCCACTTGATGCCTGGACCAACATCCAATCCACGCTATGAAGTCCTCGACTTTCAGCTTCATGTGAACTGTTAGCATGTGCCTGATGGCGTGGCCGCGCAGGTCACATTTCTCGCTTGTCACTTAATGCCAGTGACAAAGGTAAATTGTCGTTCATTCGAAGAACAGACTGACTAACTCGAGACTTTTCACACATTTCCTTCGTAAAGGTCCCTCTGTTGCTATCCCGTACTAATTGATCAGGCCAAACAATGTCCTTCAGTGGGAAGACACCAGAATCGCTTCTCCCACGATCAGACTCGAGAAACCCAGCTACCACCTGCAGAGGCATCACCACGACCGGAAGGCCTTGCCGTAGACCTCTTGCTGCCTCCCCCAAGAACTCTTCTACGCCCTCACCAAGTCGAGGGAACGGCGTCCTCGCCGTGCTGGATGAGCAGCATGCAGCGGCTTTCTATTGCTGGCAGCACAAGGACCAGGCAGAGCAATTGGCAGCTCAGGGAGGGCGGACAAGTCTGTACCCGTTGAAAGAAAGATCGAGCATTGATACGCTGATTGAGCAAGTGGGCATACTCGATTTGGAGGAGAATGTGCCAAAGCGCCACCATCGGCGACAGATTGCAGAAAGCGTGAAGCGTCGAGACACGTTGCCGTCAGGTTGGAACCAAATGGAGAGTCCGTTGATGACCGTGCCGGATGAAGTGGTACATCCCAGGCGACCCAGACGACGCCCTCCCCCACCTCCGCAGTCGAACGTGAAACTCTCTTGGGCCTGCTGCATCCAAGCAGACCATGATGATGATTTGCCTCCTGTGAGGGTCCGGAGGGACGATAGGGACAGGCTTCCTCGACCTCATACAGACGCGAGGCGACCATCGTCTGGGAGACCCGAAATGCGGCAGTCACATACCACCACCACACGACCAAAGCCAAGTCCCGCCCCTTCTCAGACCCAGACACTCCTCTCGCTCATCCCACCTAACCTCTCGCCTCAGATCACCTCGCAGTTGCTCGCTGAGCTGTCCCGCCCCATCTCGGCTGCGGATGAGGCCGGATATATTTACATCTTCTGGCTCACACCGGAATCCGAGATGTCCAAACCTGACGACGAGACAGCCTCGTCTCTTCTGGACGATGACGAGGATAACCTTGGCGATAGCGGCGGCGGCATGTACAACCGTAGCTTGCAGAGGACAAACCAGGCTCTTGCGCGCTACGCCTCCGTCCGCCGGCCGTCGAATCAAGTTCAGGCAAAACGCACCATCACGCTCAAAATCGGCCGCGCTGCCAACGTCCACAGGCGCATGACTCAATGGACCAAGCAGTGTGGGCAGAATATCACGTTGATACGATACTATCCGCACAACAACGGCGCCTCCGGCAACACCCACACTCCTCGCAGACCTCCTCCCGCTGCTGCAGCAGCTGGATCAACGAGTGCAGCTCCTCCATCTCCTCAGAGCCACAGTACCAAGGTCTCGCACGTGCACAAAGTCGAACGACTCATTCACCTGGAACTCTCGCAGAAGAAAGCCATCAAGAGCGAATGCGAGCAGTGTGGGCGCGAACACAAGGAGTGGTTCGAGATCGAGGCCACACGCGAGGGCTTGAGGGGCGTGGACGAGGTGGTCAGACGGTGGGTTGCATGGGCAGAGAGACAGTAAAATCATTGAATTGGGCGTCTTGCCGATACTGCTACAATTTCCCTCCAACCTATGGCGGTCTCCTCTTCGCTAAATGGCTTCACGTTCTTTTGTCTCGCTGGTCGATTCGCACCCAGGCGGGCGAACTGAGCATTGAAATCAACCCACTTCACTATATCGGTGGTCAAGCTCCAACTGAATTACTCAATGACAACTTTGTCAGTTAGGAGCATCTCTTGTCACCTCCGAAACAGTTTCACGACAGCCAAAAAAAAAAAACAACTGCGAAACGCGGTTCTGTAATCCATTGTCTCCATCTCACCTGGTCAGAGTCCGCCTATTCAGGTAAACGCAGTGGTCAGACGTCAAACAACCTGACGATACTAGGTGCATTCAACAATCATCTCTGCTTCAACTGATCCTCACTTGACATTCACTCATCTCTCGTTGTGTGCGTCTCAAGTGAATCTAAAGAAAAGTCAGCGAGAGTGAAATTCTGAGGTGAGTTTTATTACACTCAAACCTGCGGTGATTTTAGTATCTCCTCTGACCTTGACAAGCATGCCTCTTCAAGGAAACACGTTACACATTCATCCAGCAAACTACACAGAACTCCATTGCTCTTCAGAGTGTTCGAAAGTCGTCACCATCGGGATTGATCCTCGGTTCGAAATCTCAACCTCCATACTACTTTAAGCCAATCCAAGGAACACATTCTGCTCAGAGCAAGATCTTCATGACTTTCGAACAGTGGTGGCGGTTCTTCGATCGATATTTTGATAGTCACCGCCCTCTCACACCTAAGGATGTTCCTGAAACTAGCGAATCGTCAAGAGTGTCCTTCGCTAGCTGGGAAGAATACCTTGCTACGCTCGGGTCTGGTGCGCTCATCGAGTCATTTTTGGAAGACAGAGAAAAGAACGGAGCGTTCAATACGCGTATAAAGCTCCTAGGGCACAAACAAGGGAAAGAGACCAGATGCTTCTGTCTGTTCAAGGTCCCGAGGAGATGTTCAGAAAATTTCAGCCAAGGAGACAGAGCATCAGCCCATCTGACTACCAAGATCTCTGGCCTGATACCCCTGTTCGATGCTTTATCGGTCAGGAGCACAGACGTCTCATCTGTCGATGGCCACACATCAAAAAGCAGTCGACAACGCTCACGCGGACCTTGGGATATCAGCATCTTGCCACCTTTTCCACAAGGTCCACCAGAAGTGGCTTGGGCTTTGATTGAGCGCCGTCGGGACGAGAGGAAAGGCGAATACTATGATAAGGGCAACTATTCTGTCACCTCATTTTCTGAGTTCAATACCACACAACAGAACCGTGGAATACGAGCCGCGATTTGGTCACTACTTGACAAGTCGTCTATCTATGCCAAAATCATCCCGGAAGACCGCCACGGCATATTTGTCTACGTTTTCAGAGCTCTGCTTGAGCTGAAGCGACTGGTACAGGGACCGCAATATTCCGAGGTTTTGAAGGTACTACTCGGATCTCGTCCAGATGACGCTGCTCAACTTAATATTTACCAATCCCTCAGCGACCCATCTCTTGCGCGGGAGCAGGGAATGAATCTCAATGAGAGTCAGAAGGAAGCAATCCGTCTCGGCCACCATGCTCCCGCGGGGTTCGTCCTCTGTCATGGAGGTCCTGGAACCGGAAAGACACATTTCATCATCCAGGCTGTTCGACCTTTTCTCCTAGATACTGCCAAGCAGCACCGCGTTCTACTCACAGCAGCCTCGAACACAAGCGTCGATTCCGTGGCAAAAGGTCTAGATGCAGAGCTTCAGCTAATGATCGGTAAAGAAGGAGGAAAATCAAACGAAAAATATGTGATTCGCCTGCACAGCATCAAGACAGAGATGTCGGTTGCCCTTCGGGAAGCGAAGGTTGCAAGACAAGCAAACTTAGCCACCAAAAAGCACAACCCTGCAGCCAGCGAGCCTGGCTCACGTCCTTTGGTATCGGGACAGGCTGCTACGATCCTTGCACATTGTCAGGCGTTTGCAGAACGCAAGTACGAAGGTGTCAGTGACGAGCGAGTGAGAGTTATTGAGCTGTCTGCTGGCGAGCGGATGCTTGAGATTGCCGGAATACGTGTTGGGAGCCCACTGAATGCGGCAGATCAGTTCACGCAGTTCTCAGACCTGTATGCGCGGTTCGTCAATGGTGAACAATTCGACCCCGCGGACTGGGTAACTTTTGATACAGAGCTGGAGCGGCTCCTCGCTTTTACTATCAGCGAGGCTTCGGTCATTTGCGCGACCGTTGGCGGAGCTGCGGACGAGTTTTGCAGCAAGAACTATGTTGGCGCTGAGCTAATTGTCGTTGATGAAGCTGCCCGAATCCCCGAATACCAAATGTGGCCGTTACTCGCGTTCTACCCCAATGCCGTCGGCAAGGTCCTGGTTGGAGATCCTAACCAGCTAGGTCCTACGATCAAGGGCGACGATACAAAGGACGAAACGAAGAGGATCACCAACCCTTTTCAGAGACAGTTGGAATTGTCGCTTCAGGGGCGTCTTCAGAAGGCAGGCTTTCAATCCGCCTTCTTCAACGTGCAATATCGCGCTGTGGAGAAAATTGCCCAGATTTACAGCAACGTCTGTTATGGAGGCCTTTTGGAGCACGGTCGAACCTCACAGCTGGAAGAGGATCAGCTCGCCAAAGACATCATCGAACATAACCGGCAAACTTATGGCATTCCCGAACCCGTTGTGTTCTACGACATACCAGACGCTACAGAGGGACGCAGCTACCAATGGTCGAGATTTTGCAAAGAATACGCTATATTGGTGCTCAGAATCTTGCACAGACTTTTCAACGCCGGCTTTGGAACTCCCTCGAAGCCCTGCTCCATCGCCATCCTCACGCCGTACAAGGAGCAAATGAGACTCCTCAAGGTGTCAAAGGCATCGATGGGAAAACTCTATCCAGCTGCCAAGGACGTCGTTTTGCAGACTGTCGACAGCATACAAGGCATGGAGTACGATGTGGTTATCGCGGATCCCACAGTCGTACGCAGCCCCGGGTTTCTCGATGCGAACCGGCTCAACGTGATGTTCTCTCGCGCCCGATATGGCCTCTACGTGGTTGGCGATCACACAACGTGGACTTCCATGAGGATGGATGATTCACTCCCATTGAGAAAATTTGCAGGGCAGTTCAAAGAAGCCTATCGGATAAAATGGGATGGTCCAAAACCGTCTTCGCCTTTCTTTGATGAGGATATGATTGCAGACTATCGCTCGGATTTGGATTCGGACTCCGACTAGTCCCATGTTCTGGTCTCTTTGAAGAAGGCCATGATTGAAATATGGGACTTGGCTTGGAGTTGGCAGAGACGCTGAAATGAGACAGAAAAAGGGGGACGCGAAAGAGGATTTTTACTCATGGTTCTTGGGAAGGAGAAAGACTTGGGACCGGTTCAAGAGGTGGACGGCGGATATTGAGATGACAGGTCAAGGCAAAGGTTGGATCAGGTTGATTATCGTGAGATTGGGTACCTGCAACAAGCTCAACTTGGATCGGTCTAGACACGTTTCTTGGGTGTCTTTGAATAAGAGGTTTAGCCAATTGAATGGAACTTGGAGAGAAAGTCCTGGCTTGACACCATCAATTGTAGGCGTGACCAGAAAAGGATTGAATTTCACGTCTGGCATATCCCCAAGCATTGTTTACACCTGTCTCGCTTTCCGTCTCGAGAAGGGACCATGATCAGTATTCACCCCCTTCATCACCACCGCCACCGCCGAAGGCGAAGCCATCCTCGTCGTCCCCTTCTCCGCCATCAAAGTAATTCTCGGCGTTGTAGTCGTCGGCCTCGCCGTCGTCGGACTCCTCAAACTCTGAATCCACAGGCTCGTCGTCATCATCCTCGTCGTCGTCATCTTCATCTCCTGCCTCCTCGTCACCGTCCCCGCCTTCATTCTCCTGCGCATCGGGCCCGTCAACGTCGTCGTCGTCCTCGACGTCGTCAATATCTTCATCAGAGTCTCCGCCGCCACCACCGCCGGATTTTTGCTTCTGCCGCTTCCTCTCCTTTGCGCGCAGGCTCTCCATGAGCGACCGGCCGCGTTTCTTGGTCGGTCCGAAGTCGTCCTCGGCGTCGAGACCGCGCTTCTCGCGGGATTCGGTCTCGCGGCGCCGTCGCCGCTTCTTCTTCTTCGCTGCTGCCTTGGATGCCGTCCGGGCACGGCGAGACGGCGGGAGGAGCGGGTCCGAGTCCTCGGCGTCGGTGTCGTTGCCTTGGTCGTCATCGTCTGCAGCCGCCTTGGCCGCCGTGGTGGCGTCTTCTTCTTCGTCCTCGTCGAGAATCAGGGAGCACTCGTCGCGCTTGCGCTTCAGCGATTTGCGCTTCGGGACATTCGTCAACGCGTCGATGTCGATGTCGGCGGATTTCCAGAGCGGGCTCTGCTTGGCCGGATCGAGCAGGGGCCACAGTTCGTGCGGGAAGTATTTCAATGCTGCGCACAAAAAAGTCGATTAGACATTGTGTCTTATCAGCCGTAGTGTAGCTTCTTCCTTGTCTTCCTTTATTTTCCCCTTCTGGCAAAGGGGTTCCCCAATCATTTTTTTGCTCGGGCAAATGTGTGTGGTCATAAAAATTATTACTGAAACGTACCATACTCTCTCCCCCCTCCCGTCAAGTCCGGCAAGGCCCTCTTCTTCTTGTGATACTTGGCCGTGTATTTCTCCTGGTCGTTGAAGGGGTCGAATCCCCCGCGCTTGAGCGTTTTGCCCGTCTTTTCGTCCGCGATGCTGCTGGGGTCGAGGGTCGCGTAGTAAGGTCCATTGCGCGCGCGGGTGCGGAAGGAGAGGTAGCGCCTGACGGAGGCGAGTTCGCGGGACGTCGGCGGGCGAGGGATGGGGAGGTCGATGTCCTGTAAAGAAGATTTTAAGAGCGCTTTGGTTAGGAACGGTCTGGTCTGTGTATATGTATGGCGCAAGGAACTGGGAAGGGAGGTCAGGAGGGTGCAAGCAGTACTGGAAACAGCGCTTGAGGCTTCTTCTCCGTCGGCGAGAGAGAAATGTCGTCGTCATCTTCAAGGTCCAACTCTGGAGGCAGAGGGCCTTTTCGACCACCACCGCCGCCGCCACGTCCTCTTCCCCGACCACCCCGGGACATTGTGGGGTGTCAGGTCGAGCTCAAAATAGAGGAAATGTCACCGGATCCTGGTTTTCATGCTGGCACTAACACCAGTCGAGGGAACTGGGGAGGCTTGTGGGTGGAAAGAGAAATAGTGGTGCTATTGGTAAGTGGTTGAATCTTCCCGCACGAAGTTTGGCACCGGAAAATCGACCGGCAGAATTCTGGCCAAAGGTGCAGGTGGGGAAGTCATTTCACCGCCTTTGACGAGGCTGGGCGAGGCTTACGGAGTACCGAGTATTACTAGGTACATCTCCCCGCTTCCCACAAATGCACCCCTTTGATCATTACGATATAGCTGATCTTGTCTTGATCCAAGTGCAGTACATGGTGCACCTGCACCGTTTACCTGTGTAAGGCTTGATCCGTGTCAGGAAATGCAAGAATCTTCCTTGCGCTTGTTCTCGCAATCTTGGTTGTTGGGGACAACCCCAAATCATTGACACTCGACTAACATGAGTGACATGGACTTGAGGGGAAGAAGGCTATGCCTAACCAAACATAGCACAGCTCATCCCTAGTTCTTTCCACCACTCGAGGCCGTAGCAAGTGACATGGGCCACTCCATCCACTCCGACCAGTGAGGACCGAGGTGTGAAGAGATGGCTTGAATCAAAAGCTGACCAGAATCCCCCACGGCCCAACATTCTCTGTAAAACGTCATCAAGGCTGCAAAGTATGCCAGGATGATTAGAGCTTCAGGTCTCCGCTGATTGAGTCTTTCGAGGTATGGGGCCTTGAGCTGTACGGGCCACGCCAGTAACCAGCGGATGGTCGTGTGTGTTTCTTCGGGCACGTTGGATACCGCAAACACCCACTGCAGTCTCTCGATCGCTGGCGCGTATGCGTCCCTGGCTTGTTCCCCCAAATCCGGATTCATGATCAACTTGGACAAATCGAGGCAAGGCTGGGGGACTTGGTAGGGCTTTGGAGGCCGGTGAACCCCGAACATTGGCTTGAGTTCGGTCCCGTTGAGGTATTCGTACCAGTCTTGGATGATGAGTTTGGGGACATTGCGCATAAGCATGACACAATTGATAACGTTGTCGAGATACTGGTTGGAATCTAGGCCCACCTTGCGAGACGGGTCCGCGAGGATGTGAACCGCAAGGAGCATTGTGAAGATGAGAACGGCAGCACAGTTTGTGGCGTTAATGTCCGTTTCCACGCTGTTGAACTTGTTGAGGGCCAGCGTTTGCAGTTCGATAGACACAGTGTAGTACCATCCAGCGTTGTCAGGCTTGCAGTGCGCGAGATGTAGAGCTGAGATTGCCAGCAGCTCGTCCATGAGGAAAGGGAACGAGAAGGCCATGCGGACCATCGTTCCTTGCCATATCCGCTGGACTGAAGCTTCAGCATTGAATGTCTTGTATGTGGCGATGAGAAAGTGGTGCAAGAGCTCCATATGTTGCATGTTTAGGTTCGGATCAAATGATCCAGAGGGCGTAAACACGGGGACAATCCTGGACTGGTCAGGACCCGGGGGCCTCTGGTCTGGAGTTGAGGACTCGGACGCGCTGGCAACAACAGGTTCGGCGTCTGTGGCAGTCGTTGTTGAAGGGGATGTGCCCGGAGCAAAGTTGCAATCCAACCCAGCGGTCTGGCAGTTGACACATCGAGGGCGATGTTCATCACACTATGAACAAGAGTTTCAGCGGCTGAGTCGAGGCATTGTCTCCTGCTGAAGTCTGAAAAGCCGGGGACCAACCTTGATGTGTCGTCTCTTGCAGGCGACACAGCCACTCCGAGACTTTTTGTGCGGTCGTCGCGGCATTGAGACTTTAGGCCCTAGACGGGCACAACGATGCTTCGGGGAGTGCTGGTCAAGATACGGCTCCCTTTGCAAGTAGATGATCCAGAGATATATATAAAACGCGGCTGTTTTCGTCTTAGGTGATGGGGAAAGGGCTGGATGGCAGCAGGGCTGAGCATGTTCGGAGAGAATTACTGGTGCCTGGACGTCTTAGCAATCTGAGCCAGCATATCTATTATCGCCTGGCGCCAAAGGAGGCGATAGCACCGATACTACAGCCAGATGCAAGTTGTAGTTGCACAGCCACCATATCAAGTGCGTCGTCTACACAGAGACGGTGCGCAAAAGTGGTTGTACAGAAGATGGACCGGGCGGACCCAGGGAGCGGGAAATGAGCAGCCTCGGGGCATATTCATCGCTGATTGGCTCCGGGTATTTTTCTCTCCTGCCAAGCTCCGAGTCTACTTCGTCTTTCCCCAGATTTTCATTCAACTCCATTGACTCATCTTCGCAATCCAGCTAGTCGCAAATCACCGTCATAATCGGATAGAAAGCTACTCGCCTGCCTGGTTTGACCTAGAATATCCAATTGAATACACATTTCTCGCCCATCATGCCTGGTCGCTCAGAAGTCGCCTATTTTGGCGCCGGTCCTGCCCCTCTCCCTACCCCTGTCATTGAGACGGCCGCTCAAGCTTTTGTCAACTTCCAAGACACCGGGCTCTCCCTGGCGGAGATCTCGCATCGCTCTTCGACAGCCAACAAGGTCCTCGCCGACGCCAAGGACGCCTTGGCAACCTTGTATGATATCCCTATGGATGAATACGACATCATGTTTATGGAGGCAGGAGGCACGGGGGAGTTTAGTGCCGCCCTGCAGAATCTAGTGGGATGTTGGATTGAGCGGCGTCGGAGGAAGGCCGTGGCGGAACTGGGTGAAGGAAAGGACGCCGAAGTCCTGGAGCGGGTCAAGAAGGAGATCGAGGCAGAGTTGAAGGTCGACTATCTGATAACAGGATCTTGGTCCCTCAAGGCCTGTCAGGAAGCAACCAGACTCATTGGGGCAAAATACGTCAACGTTGCCATTGACGCCAGGAAGACTAACAACGGCAAGTTCGGGAAGATCCCGGACGAAAGCGAGTGGAATCTCACGCCAAAGGGAAGTGCATTGACTTATTTGTGTGACAACGAGACTGTCGATGGGGTCGAATTTCCCTCTTTCCCCAAGGTTTTGGAAAATACCAGTGGGAATGAAGAAGACGACAGGATTGTGGTGGGAGATATGTCGAGCAATTTTCTCAGTCGACAAGTTGACGTTCGAAAATACGGAGTCATCTTCGTGAGCCAGCATTTTCCCTACATGCACCCCTCCCTGCATTGTGCTAACTTTTCTCCAGGGCGGCGCCCAAAAGAATCTTGGAATCGCTGGCATTACCGTGGTCATCATTCGGAAATCCTTGCTCAGCCTTGTTCCGCCCCCGACGTTCCTTCACGCCCTGTCCCCCGTGATCCCGACCTCAGGATGTCTGCCGCCCATTATGCTCTCTTTCTCCACCATCGCTGCCAACAATAGTCTCTACAACACGCTTCCAATCTTCAATCTGTACGTTGCGACCCTGGTCCTGCAGCGCCTCGTTTCCACGTTCGGATCCAACAAGGTATCTGGCCAGGAAGAGGTCGCCAATCAGAAGGCCAGACTTTTATATGAGACCCTTGACTCTCACTCAGACTCGTACCACGTTGTCCCGCACAAGAGCGCCAGGAGCAGAATGAACATTTGCTTCCGAATCATCTCCGGAGCGAAGTCGGGGAGCGGAGAAGTTGTGCCGGATGACGCCAAGGAGAAGGCCTTCCTTGCCGGCGCGGAACAGCGCGGGCTGCTTGGCCTCAAGGGCCATCGATCCGTTGGTGGCATCAGGGCGAGCAACTATAACGCTGTCCCGCTGGAGAATGTACAGCAACTGGCCAGCTGGTTGGTGGAATTTGCCAGATCATGAGTGAACTCGAGACCTCGCTTGGCCGGATCGGTTATAGGGATGGGAATGGTCGGTGGGTGACGGTCCCCTGAACAACCGGAGGCGGCGGTGCAGAAACAAATAGACACCAAAAGTATGTTCATTGCGACCATAAAAGTACACCGGGTGGTTCTAATCGCAATCATATCTTGTCAGGTTCTTTCTGGAGAGATCTATTCAACAGTGCCAGTACGTCTCTGTCACGGGATGGTTGACTCGACTCGTGCCTTGCTCCAGGGTTCCTGCCAGCTACCGCAAGGGATCACTACCGCAATATCCTTACAGCACGGGATCCTTGTACCAAGGGCTTAGTGGATCTCGTTGAGCGGCAGAGATGTGATCGTGGTTATCCCGCGTCATGCACTCTCCAAGGCTGAAGGTTATGAATAAGAGACTACTTCCTCGTAAGCAAAATCTCGATAACCCAAAATTTCCCAGACTCCTCGCCTCGACAGTACGTTGTTCTTAAATGTGCCCAGAGACAATTTTCAAAGTCGGGAGAGGAGATGGGCGAAGCTCCTTCCTGGACTGGCCTCACTAGGAGATAGCCACTAGCTGGTGGGCGGTGCACCCTGCTGCGGATCCTGCTCCGGGTCCTCCTCCGGATTCTGCTCCTGAGGCTGTCCCGATGATGAGCCTGGGGCTCCGCTTGTCCCTGGGAGAAGTCTCTTCAACGTGCCACCACCCGGGAACTTCCCGACCCTCCTCCCGATCGTGCCTGCTATGCCTGTTCTTTTGGTCTCCCCAGGCGTCAGGTTGACTCCTTGCGGTACCTCCCCCGTTACACAGAAGACGACCCCGGCCACGAGGACATTCGCCGTGGGACTGCCAGCCGGGGCTTTCGGGGCACTTGTATGGGTTTCTCCCGGAAGCTTGACGGTCAAGGATTTTGTCAGTCTGGTGGAGCTGATGTTAAAGGCTGACCCGTCGTAGTCCACAATCTGAAAGCAAAGGTCAGTTTGGTATTACCTACTCTTGAAGCAGAAGTCTCCGCCGTGGCGAGGAAGGGGAAAAAAAAGGGGGGGGAAGTAACTTGCCTTCTGGGTTCCTGGGACGAGTGGCTGAGTCTCTTGTGCGGAGAATACGTTGACTGTGCGATTGGCCTTCTGACGGCTCTCAAACCAAGCGTTGGAAGACTTTGTGATATTTTGTGACTCGGTTGAATTTATCACCAGGCCACGGACTTGACCGGGATTGGCATGAGGCGCCACCGTGCTTAAAATCAACCCAAACTGCCCCCAAGGAGAACCCTGGCCGGGGGAAGCAAGCCTGAATATGCCGAGACAACCATTCAACAGAGCTCCCCAACTTTGTATTCGTTGAGCGCTCGACGTCTTCGGATTTCCGCCCGTCTGTGTGGTTTCTGCAAAAGCCGTTCCCATGGCCTGTTCGAGTGCGGGTTAGCTGGCTCGTGCTGTGATGTGGGATTGGAAAAGAAAAATGAGCAACGTCGCCGTTTACTAACCGCCAGAATTTCCATACCACCCATGCTGTGGCCAACCGCCACCCATTGTCTGCCTCTAACTTGAGCAGCAATGGCATCCAGCAGAAATGGTGTTGTATCGGTGATGTTCAAACTGGTGTTTGCCGGGCTGAGGGGTTGGGTTTGCCATCCGACCTGAACGACTTCGACCTGTTTGTTACCAATAAGGGGTGCGATGTCCTTGTCGAGGGTCGTCGCCCAGCTGCTCCCATCTGCTCCAATAAACGCGTCCGGGGAACTGTTGAGCCCGTGTATGAGAACGACGCTGTTTGGCCGTCGGATTAGCTTGAGCATAGAGTGCAGAGCCGGGGCTCGACCAGTCCAAATATGGGCCGTTGTGCGCTAGGAGGACAACTTACACTATCTGTGCTTCCGGGTTTGCTTGCAGTGGTTCGGCGGTTGGAGCCAAGCTCGACGCATTCGACCCGCTTGGTACTTCAGGTGCCTGACGAATGGGTGTTTTCCCCTTTCCCCCTTGACCCGGAGGTGGAGGTGGTGGGTTCGTGCTGCTCATATTGTGCGGATAAGTGGCGAGCAAGACAGAGAAAAAAAGTTCAGGTCTGTGCCGAAGACCCAGCAAGGTGACAGTATGAAGCTGGCACAAAATCAGTGAGAAAAAGCAGTCCTCGGTATACTTAGCGACCACGGTGATATGGTATCAAAGGCAAAATGCGAGTATGGTGGGCAGAGGTCTCTTGGAACGGACCGTCTTACATATATAGCGGAGGTACAAAGCTGCGGATTGCAGTGAGCGGCGGCAGGGAAGAAGGTCGACAGAGCATCTACATACGAGATACTGCCCTTTGTGTGAGTTCCAGAAATAGGTCGACACGGACTAAGATCTCTGGTCCAGTACTTCTCGCTGGGGAATGATTGGGAATCTGGACGGCGAATCTGAGAATAGCGCAAAATCATCGAGGGAGGCTGAGCAGGAGATAGAAGTTTCCCCGCCCTGAGAGAACATTTGCAGGAGGGCACGCACGTTGCATCAGGCTGTAGCACAAACCACGGGGTCTGGAATCAGCATTGTTACAATTAGATTCTCTCCTTGATTACAGAGTCCCGCTTGGTTCAGTTGATTGGGGGCCACTCATCGCCCACAATACACGCATGCGGGCACGGGGATTTTCTAAGGATCGGACCGTGTGCTAGGGCGCTTAGAGGATATCACAAGGATGGCGAAAGTTGAAAGGGGGGTGAATCATGTAGTTGGGCCTTGGAATAATGGATGGTGGGGACACATCGATGCTCAGAATAGAGTACCCTAGGAATCTCAGCTGGCATAATTTTATTCCAAAAGACATATTGTGTAGGGAGTACATTTCCACCCATTGGTGGCCCACCAACTGATTAGCTGATCTGTCGCACGCCTCAAGGTACAGCCGAAGGGAAAATGTGACTCAGCGGAGGAACAGAATGCGTTCACCCAGCATGCTACAGGGTTCAGAAGACCGTCTGACTTATACCGGGTATACGATGAGTAAGGAGGTCAGTAAATAAAGGGGCTACTAGCGCTAGTAGAGGGTTTGGCCGAAGTGCTGGTAGCCTAGCGTGGCTATCATTTATATCGTCTGGTAATGCCTGTGACCTCCTAAACTACATAGTACTATGGACCCGGGTTCCACGGTCAGCCTCTAGCTGAATAAAGAAGCCAGTACGCCCTATACTCCAATCCGGGGCACAAGGTAAGAGAGGCCAATAAAATGACAGGCGTCCTCTGAATATGTGGATCTTTTGTTGGGAGCCAGGATTTTGGTAAGTTTTAGCTTACTACTATCTCACACCTTGTGGTGGCCACTATTCAAGAGCCAATTAGTATCTGAGCGTGGGTAGCCCCAGATGACCAAGGAGGGGGGTTGTCATACACATCCCACTAGTAGATTAAGACTAATTGTACGAACTCCATTCGGTACAGCTCCGATGCATGACCCAGTAATCAAAAATGGACGTGCGGCTTCAAGCCTTGCTGACACTAACCCCCGTATTTGAGCTCTAGAAATCAGGTTGCCATGGACAGTCGAGTTGTCGGTCACTGTCTCAATCGAACTCTGCTTATGGGCATGTTATATTTTGAGAGCGGGGAGTTACGACCCAAAGGGGCCAAAGTTTACTCCTTCACGGGCCACGGCCCATCCGTCTCGGTCGGTGTGCCGGGAATAGCGGTAGGATACTCAACAGGGTTCTGAGAGCCGCACCCTTGCTATACTCACTGCGCCTTACCGAGCTTGTCGTACGGGAGGAGTATAATAGGGCCACTCCGGGCTTCCATACTTCTCTTTACACAACCGTCACCAGTACAGAGAAGTGAAGCATAATCATTACTGCATCATAACACATGGACCACGGACACATGGACCACGGACACATGGACCACGGACACATGGACCACGGGCACGGGGATGGAGGTGACGATGCTTGGCAAGGAGCTGGCCAAGATGGGTACGACGACGGATACGGAATGGACGGTCAGGGCGACGACCATTATCCTGCGTGGGACTCGCTCATCTCGGAGATACACGGCCATATCGATACCTACGAGCACCACATGGACAATTCTCGTAAGTTGGAGCTCGATCGAATTTCTCGCAGTTCTCTGCCTCGCCCGACTAATTGCCTGTTTTTCCCGAGTTAGCGTCCGAGGAAGAAAAGCAGAACAATCTGCGCCGAACCCTGAAAGATATCAAGCGACTTGCGCGGCAACTTCGAGAGATGGACCCCAGCAACGAAGAAGCCCAGACCTACTACAAATTCGCCAAGCACGCACAAAGGGGGAAATATCAGGGCGAGTATGACGATCCGGACGAGGACGAGGACGAGGACGAGGACGAGGACCATGCAGACAAGCACGAGTTTAAGCTAGAGATGATGTGGGAATCTGACGACGAGTCTGGAATGGACTCGGACTCGGAGGCAGGAGACGACGACGACCAGGAGCAAGGCTGGGGCAACGACCACCACGAGGCAGGCTGGGACCATGGGGAAGGGCAAGACGGAGACTGGGGGGATAGCTATGATCAGGGAGACGACTATCAAGATGGCGGTTATCAAGATGGTCACGATCAAGGACATGACGATCAGTGGGGGGACGATGACAATCAATATGGCGATGATGGGGACAACCAAGACCAATATCACGACCATGATGAGCAAAATGGCGAGCATGACCATGGCCATCAACACGACCAAGGAGACCAAGGAGACCATGATGACTACGACCAGCCACAGTACTCACCACACGAACATGACGGTTGCTAGTTAGCCTCTGATGTCGTCCGTCTCAAGTCGGAGAGCAGGAGGCAGGTCAAAAACCATTCGGGCGGGCTAGTACTATCTGGATTTCTTCGCGCGGACCCTGTCAATAGGTCAGTGGGAAAGGAGTCTGCGTATATACAACGTCGTTATCACTGTAGTCTGACTCCACGCCGCTTCCTGTACCTGAACTCAATGCTCCGAGTCTGCGAGACCTTCAAATGGTCCACACGGAGCGCAGCCGGCTGTTCACGATGCTTGGCATGCCAAGGCCGGGCGGCGGAGATAAATTTGTCCGGGAGGTGAGCGGTGGTGCGACTTATCGAGACATCATTTCTCGACTCCACATCGAATTTTACCCGGAGGACGCTTTGATCCTATCGCAAGGCTACCGGGACCGCACAATGCCCGCCTTGAGCCTCATAACTCAGGAGAAAGATGACCGAACCAGGCCGCGGCAGATCCGCTCTTGTCCTTTATGGGACAGAAACCGGCACGGCCCAGGACCTCGCTGAAGAGATCGGCCGCACGCTGGAAAGGCTTCATTTCTACACGGATGTCTTGGGATTAGACGCTGTCAATTACGGCCTCCTCCACCAATACACTCTGACAGTCTTCGTCGTTGCCACGACTGGACAGGGTGACTTCCCCGAGAATGCTCGAAGATTCTGGACCAGCCTTCTCCGCAAGAAGCTCGCGGCCACCACTCTGGCAGGCGTTGATTATGCGCTTGCCGGCCTCGGAGACACCTCGTACCCAAAGTTCAACTGGGCCGCACGGAAGTTGGATAAGAGGCTTCGGCAGCTTGGGGCGTCGCCAATCGTCGAGCCTTGCGAGGCCGATGAGCAAGGTGACGAGGGAACGGATGGCGCCTTTCTGACCTGGCTTCTTTTGTTTCGAGAGACTATATTGAAGACCTTTCCTCTTGCCGATCACCAGAGCCCAATCCCGAATGATATCCTGCTGCCAAGTAAATGGCGTCTAGAAAAGATATATGAACCCTTCAATACGTCTGTTACCTCGCCAATCGCCAACGGCATTCAGCCGCCTTCCTCGGCTGCTGGACAGAACACTTCTTCTACTTCTTCGAACTCCTTCTCCGTATCTTTGGAGTGTAACCAGCGAGTCACGCCACCGGATCACTGGCAAGATGTTCGATTTATGAGCCTCAAAGCATCGACAAAAATTGACTACATGCCCGGCGATGCTGTCGCCATTTCTCCTCGAAACATGCCTGTGGACGTGGAATCTCTGATCAAGCGCATGAGCTGGCAAGATATTGCGGATGTGCCTATTCGGCTCGTGTCGACACGGCAGCCGTCTTGGGCTACTACCTGCTCAACCAATCCTGCAACCAATACGATCTTCAGCCGTGCTGATCTCACCCTCCGGGCTCTTCTCACCGAGTATTTGGACATCAACGCCATTCCTCGCCGCTCGTTCTTCGGGTGCATTGCCAACTACACCAGCAACAGCATGCACAAGGAGCGACTCCTGGAGTTCACCGACCCGCAATATCTCGACGAATACTACGACTACGCAACCCGTCCGAGGCGGAGCATCCTCGAGATTTTGCAGGAATTCGATTCCGTACATTTGCCCTGGGAGGAAGTTATCAATATCTTTCCACCAATACGCCCAAGACAATTTAGCATTGCGAGTGGTGGACTCTTGAAAAGCGCAGAAGATGGATCGACCAAATTCGAGCTGTTGGTCGCGATTGTCAAGTACAGGACCGTTATCAAGCGGATTAGAGAGGGGGTATGTACGCGGTACCTGGCGCAGCTGCCGGTTGGAACAACACTTCAGGTCTCGCTGAAAACAGAGGGCCGCTTCACCAAGGCCGCTGATGATTTGACCGGCCAGAGCCACGTCCTGATCGGCGCCGGCACAGGCATCGCGCCTCTCCGAGCACTCATCCACGAAAAGGCCACCAACAGCAGCCGGGGCTTTTCGGGCGGCAAGACTGCGCTCTTCTTCGGCTGCCGCAACGAGAAAGCAGACTATTTCTTCCACGACGAATGGACCGCACTTCAAGCGGCCCAGATGATGCGCCCGAGCGACACCGCCAGTTTTCTCCAAGTCATCCCGGCGTTTTCTCGAGATCAGAGATCCAAAGTCTACGTGCAAGACCGGATTCGCGAGCGGGCCCAGTTGATCTGCGACCTTCTCAGGAAGAAGGCGGCGACGGTCATTGTGTGCGGGTCCTCTGGGCAGATGCCCAAGGCTGTCAGGCAGGCTTTGGTCGATGCGCTTATTCGGCAAGGCAAAAGGAAGAATGAGGACAAGGCAGTGAATGGAGGTCGAATGAGCAGTGAAGAGGAGGACGGTGGTAAGACCGAAGAGCCGGTACAGAGTGCAGAGGATGCGGAGAAATACCTCGCGAGGCTGGAGAAAGAAGGTAGATACAAACAGGAGACGTGGTAGGATGTAAATTTTGGCCCGGACAACAATCAGTGGTCATCCAGACCCAGTAATATATCAGAGATGTTTGTTGCGTGCCAGCAGTTAAAACATTTCCTTTCCAAAAATAGCTTCGTACTTGTATCGAGGCCTCATATCAAAGCTAGCAAGAGTTGGCATCAGATTTTCTTGCATATCATCACATATCAACAGTTTTTTTCAAGGAAAACCAAAAAAAAAGATCATCATTGTCGCACACGACACCACACATCTCCAACCACATCAAACGCTCCAAAAAAACACCCCCAGATGAGCGAATTCAAACACGCACGCTGGCCTTATCGCTCTCACAGGCACACCCGCTCTTGCCCGCGGCGACCTCGCTCGGGGTGCGGGCGTAGCTGGGCGGGACGTCGAGGGCCGGGTTGCGGACGAAGAAGTTGCGCGGGCGGAGCAGCAGGGTCATGGGCTCGGCGGGCATGACCGGGTAGTCCTCCGGGGCCGGGAAGTGGGTGATGCCAAAGGTGTGCCACAGGACGATGTCCTCGTTGTCGATCTTGGCCGAAGGGTTCGCGGCGATCCACTGCGGGAGGCCCATCGAGGGCTCGCCCGACGTTTGCGGCACGTGGCGCCCGGCGGGGTGCACTTGGTCGTCGGAGTCTTGTCACCACCATTGTTAGCATCTCGGGGTTTACACGTCTCGCAGGTGGCAATTTGAGTTGGCAATGGGAAAGCGGGAGGTAGACAGGGAGAAAAACTTACACTTCGTCACATGCACGGCGTGCCTCGAGAATCCTGCCCTCTTCCACACCAGGGATCCTTCCTTGGGCAACAACGCCGGCACTTCCCTGCTCACCAACTTGTATGACACGGGCTTCTTGGAGTGTGGGTTCAACTTGTTCTCATTGGCCATGTCCCACGTCCGCGAGCTTGATCCGTTGTAATCCGCCATGGCCTCGGTGGGGTTTGTGTATTTTGTCTTCTTTGCATAGAAGGCATTGCCGTAGTAGTTTTCCGCGGAGCCCACTTCCCCGGCGCCCTGGGCGGCGTCAACCTGGAAGACCGTGTTGTTGGGCCCGTCGATGTTGGGATCAATGCGCAGACAGAACAGGTGTTGATGGTTGTGGGCGTTGACTCCTGGGTACACTTCGGTGCCCCATCCCTTGGTATCCTCACCGGGGTTCATGGCGTAGGTGTTGAGGATGCCGGTGAGTTTGATCTCGAGCTGGACGGTGCCGTCTTGGTGGAAGATCCAGTAGACGCAGTACTCGTAGTTTGCGGCGGTGAAGATGTGGGAGATGATCAGCTTGCGTGCGCGGGTCACGATGACCGAGTCGTCTCGGAAGTCGGTGTGCTTGAACAGGATGCCGTTGTCTTCCTCGTGGATGCAGATTGCGTTTTTGATCGTTTGTGCGGACCCGGCCTTGTTCACAAACTCGGCATCCATGTAGTGAATACTGCCCTTGCAGTCACAACCCAGGCTCAGTGAGTTGGTCATGTACCCACCGCCGTACTCGCCCAGGTCGAAGGCGTGCTTGCGTTGATGCGGATGCTCAGGGTTGCCGTAGGGGACGACCATTTCTGCGAGCGAAAGGCGGTAGAAGATGGGTCGGATCTTATTCTCTGCCTTGTCGAAATAGGTAATGTTGTTGAGCACGATGCCCTCTCGGTAGTTGAAGCCCACATGGATGGACCAGTTTTGCCATTCGATGATGCGGCCATTGACTTTGAAGCTGACGCCTTCGGGCTGGGTGATGTTGATCGGCTTGAGGTCGGTTCGGTAGCCGCCAATCTCTTCGATCGATTTGACCGTGTAGTTGTTCGCTGGTGCCTTGCTCAGGGGTCGTCGAACCTTGGGCACGTCGATGTGGATGATCTTTTGCGTGTTTGCGTCGTAGATGGGGCAGAAATCCAGCGGGTAAGAATATTGAGAGTCGTCGACGTGAGGCCGATAGTACATCAGCGCCTGCTGAAGTCGGACGGAATTGCCGAATCTCTCATCGTATCCAATGGTCCAGGGATCGCAGTAGACCTTGTCCATCTCCTCGGGCGGGATGCCAATCAGACCACATTGCTCAATGACGCCGGGATCCTTGCGAGCGACATGTTCGACGACCTGGAGATCTTCCATGGTGATCAGTGGCTGCACGCCGGGAGTATGTTCCCATTTGACCACCTTGCGCTCGGTGAGGTCAACATGGCCGTCGAACACCTTGCCGTCTGGCGAAATGACCACAATGTCCGCCACACGGTGTGGTTTGGGCGTGTGGTCGGGATCAGCCAGCCATTTCAGCATTTGAGCCTTTGGTGGCTCGTACAGCGTGACGGCATTGTAATACAGCTTGCCGTACTGTGATCGAAGCAGAGAAACGGCCGTCTCAATCTCAAGGGAAGACAGGGGGTCGAAAGGATGGGGAGGAGCAACGGTGTTGGACACCTGTTGGGCCAGCTGCTTCACACGCTCAAGAACCATGGCTGATCGTCTGCGGGTATCAATGAACGAGGCAGAGAGCGAACAGACAGGAATATGCTACAGAGAGCAGAAGATGAGGAGAGGTAGGGTGGGAAAGCCTCACCGATCAGTCAAGAGATATATATGTATTATGTGCTTGTTGGCGGCGAACTTGACTGCCAACTCCTCACGATGAAAAAGGTAATGCTTTGCTCTAGCCGATACCAACACCAAAGGCCTAAGCATGTAGAGCTCGCCGTCAACTGCATTATGACACGGACGATAAGCAGATAAGGGTCTGGGAGAGCGTCTTGCTACTCGCCTGTTTCGCGGTCGCTTTCCTCTTTTCCGCATCAGAATCCATCCTCGAGCTTCTGACTGGCCTGGCAAAGTTTGCCATTTGTGGTTTAGATCTTACTCCACACTCGAGAATCAGAAAGAGAAGGTGACCACGAGCAACTGGCATCTGGGTGCTCAGCGCTTCGGGTCGCGACAAAATGGCGATTCGAACTGGACACATGCCTGTCTTAACAAGAGAGAGGAAGCAACCTGGAGCGTCATGAGGATAGCGGCGTAGAGATGTCCGGAAATGCTTAGGAAACGCTTTCAGGCCGAGAATTCTCCTCACATCCAAAGTCAAGCCATCCTGGTTGCACACAAACGAGTCGTTGATTCAAGGTTTTCCGAGCCTAAGGCTATGCTGCATAAAACGCAAGGCTATATGTCCTTTGCGGGAGGCAAGCCTACAACAAACATGAATGGGGTTGCGCGGTCCCAAAGCCACAAGGCAGTGTGGGATGCCCTTTTCCAGTTGCCTCATCTTCGCTTTCTGTACATGGTCACCCCAGTTGTCTTCTATATGTACAATGTCCACTTTCTCGGGTCGTGCTCTTCTGGAGGGGGCACCCTCAGCTCATTCCAGCACTTGGTCGTGAGCAGCGGTGAAGTCGTTTTGCCGCAGGGATCGTCTAGTGGTGTCCCGACTTTTCATCATGACCATGACTGTGCGAGTCTTTGAGGAACAGTTGCTCGAAGATAACATAGCCAGTGAACGCGACCACGGCAATTCCAAATCCGGGGAATGCTCTCTTGAATCGATTCCATCTCGTGAAAGGTCCGGTGTATCGCCATGCCTCGCTGGAGCTTTGTCAGAGTCTTGTCGCCATGATCTTGTACCTTGCTTACTATCTGCCCCACGGGTCTCGTTGCCGCCACTCCCTGCTTGTTGCTGCGTCGGTGAAGGCTTTCATGCTGAACCCGGTTGGGTTGTTCGGAGGTGCCATAATGACTCGAGGCCTGTGATTAACGGCGCTGAGGGATTGGGACCAGGAGCAGGTTAGTGTTAGGGCTCCGGAGCTCTCAGTGGAGATTCGCGTAGAGGAAAGGCCAGCTGGTCTATTGTTGAGGGTAGAGCTTGATGGATGTACAAGATCTTCGGCGCAGGAAAGCAATTGACAAGGTGATGACTGAAACAGCTCTTTGCTCGGTGAAATACGTCTGACAGGGAAATAAGGGGCTTCCAGCACGTTATTGCCCCGCCACTCCGCAGAAGCTGTTGTGTCAGACTAAATAATATTCCCGACGAGCATCAGGATACTCAGTACTTCTCCGTACTACGGCTGCGCATTCGTGGGTTGGATGTCGCACTCTTGGGCCAGACTTTGTCCCGCCGCATGTTGGCCATCAACCTTGCACCGAGTCCTGCGCAAATCACAAACACTGAACCATGACCGCTCAACAACTCTGTCTGGTAAAGTGAATGGCACCCTCGATTCTTACACTCATGGATCAGTCGGCGGTTCACCAATAACCATCTCAACCCCAATCTCCATCTTTCCACAATGAACACATTTGAAATAACATCGTCGACTGCATCTCCTCCGCACTTTCGAACTACCTGAAACTACTCGACCTTCATCATGGCTCCTCCGCGTTATGGAAATCAGTCCATGAACGGACCTTATCATATGCAACAAAATCACCTTCAGTCTCACGCGTCCTCACATCAACATGGTGCCCTGCCGCCTCCGACTCACCTCGGCACCCCGTCGTTCGGTGCCGCTGGCTCCTCTAACGCAAGTCCATTCGCTTTGGCCGGCAACTTAAACAATGGCTTTGAGCGTGGCATGCTCGATGGCGGCCTTCTTCCGAGTCAAATCGCTCAAATGGGTTTCTCAAGAGGTGGTCCAGTGCAGGGTCACCAATCGTACGATGGGTTGGGGGTGCCACTGGAGAACAAGGACGATGCTAGGATTCGGAACGTCTGGAAGCATAACCTCAAGGAAGAGATGGCGACGTTGAGACAACTTGTGGATGTCTACCCGTACATTGCCATGGTAGGCGGCTGTCTTCGTTTATGGTCATTTGTAACTGCGCTCACATGGATTGTTTAGGACACCGAATTCCCAGGTATTGTCGCGCGGCCCATCGGCCAGTTTACCACAAAAGCCGACTATCACTATCAAACATTACGGTGTAATGTCGACCTCCTCAAGATGATTCAACTGGGGATAACTCTTTTCAAGCCTGACGGCACCCTTCCTCCGCCCGACGCCGCTCCTTCGCAGAAGTCCCAGTTCCACCAAAATGCTCTAGCTACACCATGCACGTGGCAATTCAACTTTAAGTTCTCTCTGGAGACTGACATGTATGCAAGAGAGTCGACACAAATGCTTTCGAAAGCTGGCATCGACTTTGACCGGCATGCGAAGCATGGCATCGATCCCAATGACTTTGGTGCACTGTTGATCAGTTCTGGTCTGGTGCTGGACCCTGATGTTCATTGGATCTCGTTTCACTCGGGCTATGACTTTGGTTACCTCATGAAACTTATGATTTGCAAGCCCTTACCCGAGGACGAAGTAACGTTCCACAAGTATTTGGAGAGGTTCTTCCCCTCCTTGTTTGACATCAAATTCATTCTCAAGCACGCTGGTGTTAAAGGTCAAGTCAACAGCGGACAACCCCTCTCTCAGGAAGCGGCGATGATGGTCCAACGCATAATGACCAAGTCGGGTCTCCAAGACATCGCCGAAGAGCTGGCAGTGGCGAGAATCGGACAAGCACACCAAGCGGGCTCAGACTCCCTGCTTACTGGGCAGGTGTACTTCAAGATGAAGGAGAAGATTTTCAACGGCACCATTGAGGAGGAAAAGTACCGCTCTCAAGTCTGGGGACTCAATGCGCAGATGCCAACAGGTGGAAATGCGACTGGTGGGGGAGGCGCTCCAGGGGCGACACGCGACTTTAACACTCCGAACATGAATGGAGCGACCTTCTACAACCAGAATGGAACACCGACGACGCCGCAGACTGGTAATATCGGTCTGGCAGGTGGACAGGGCGGAGGAGGACCTTCTTCGCACACGCCTGTCCCTGCACATACTGGCGGCGCCGGGATGATGGGGTCCATGACACCTGGAGGGTTTGGAAATTTCCAGTACCAGAAGGCGATGAGTTAGGGGCCTTCTCCTCGAGGTCGCCGCCAGCGCAGAGGGGCCAGAAGAGGACAGGCCGGGATCATTAGTCACGGCCCTGGTCATGACCCAAATCCTGGTCTTGAGCCGGTGCATGGTCAGGGGTTTGATCCCGCTTTGGAGATGTACCAGCAGCCTCCGATTCTGTTGGATCCCGCTCCTGAAGCCGAGTTCTGGCATTGGCCCAACCTTTTTCATCCACTGCCTATGCATCATCCTCGCCCTCTCGAGCTACAGTTTTATCAGTCTCACTATTGGCAATATCCCCCGGCACCGCCACCGACGGAGCCTTGGGACCCTTGGAGTTGAAGGTGCTTTGATTTTGCGTGTACCTACTATCCACCTTTATCTCAACTCGCCGTGAGCTCTCTCTTGGCCCTTTCTCTACTGGCGGCGTGGAAATCCAAATCGAATCGAATCCAAAATGGTAGTCGGCGTTTCTGTGTTGTTATTTTGCCCACATTTGTATCCCTCTTTTGGTGGGGTCTGGTATCGGGTTGCGAATGTACGGGGTGGTTGGAAGGCATGGACGGGGGCGCGCATGGGGGTTGAAATTGTGGGGATTGGATTCAGAATGAGAGGAAGGGGAGGGAGATAACAAAGGAGAAACGGGGATATGAAAAAGGGGAGGAAAAAGCCAACGTGTATGCTTGATGCTTGCTGTCTTTGCGGCCTTGTGTTTTGTGCCGTGCGTCTTGTGTACCTAGGTATGGAGTATCCCGTCCTCGCTGTCCTTTAGCCTGGGAGCCCTGAGTCCTAAATTCTAGCTGCCAAGGCACAACATAGAGAAAGGACTTTGGTGTACCTGTCTGTCTGTCTGTCCCTCCCTTCCTGTCCGCATTCTGGCAAGAGACCACCACCCCAAACTTCCCGCATCCCCCATCTCGAGGTCCCCGTTCCTGAACCCAGAATGCAATGTAAGCCAAATAGAAAGAAGAAAAATCCAAAAAAAAGAGATGGGATTCATCAAAATCAGAGAACAGTGATCATTCATGTTTCTACCAGCCAAATCCTCATGTATATTATGCCCGTTTCGCCCGACTGGAGCGAATGCCTTTCTCCTATCCATTGCGATCCAAAAAGTCCAACGCCGGTGTGCCGAAAAGTGCATGATGCCGAACAGTGATTCTCCAGTCGTTTCTTGAGGTTACGAGGTTCATGGTGCGTCGTCTTTTTCCGTGTTTCCAAGTCCTCTCCAGAGGCTTTCCTTCGCCGGGTTGGGAGCTGATGGTCCAATCTCCTCGACGGAATGTCTTGCATGTCTCATCTCGTTTGATATCCGTCGCAATGGTAGCAAAAGTCATAGTCTGACACTGTTGTTCGCGCCCACCGGAGAGCAGACATTCGACTCTCTTGTCTCCAATTCGCCTTTTGCCGGAACCGGATTTCGTCGCCAGCTCAGCTTCCCAAATACTTCCTCCACCCATCCCTCCATACACTCCTGTGCCCTTCATCCGTCACCCCGGGCCTTTCACCAACTCTAAATCTTTCCCACCGTGCATCCCTTCCTGTCCCAATACAAATGATCGTCGAGTTGTCTATCCATCCCAAGATTCCTTTCTGTGGCCGGTTCGGCAAGGACCCAAGCGCGGGCAAGTACGACAGCGTCGAGTGATTGAAGCCAACGCTCTCATCGCCCATCTCAAAATGCGCAGATGCGAACGAGTAGATATCGGAGAAGACACGGGGCAGCAGCGGGATCTTCGAAAGGAAGCCCCATTTTTGATTTGTCGGTGGTTCCTCCTCGGCCATGGTCGGGATATGTGGCGATTGAGAGCGGCGTTGTTGGGAAGAGGGACTGAGTGGGCTGGTCGGTTGGGACTGTGAAGAGGAATTCGGTGGCAGGTCGAAGACATGCAAGGTCGATTTGTCCGAGGTGACGGCAAGCATACTGCAATCGAGAGAGATGGCGATGCTGAAGATATACGCCGGATCCACCCCACGACGCAGTTCCGCAATCTTCGTACAATTTGCTGTCGAGAAGACACGAATCAGTGTGCCCGTTTCACTCGCAGTAGCCAACAGTTGACCGTCCCTGCTCAAGTCCATTGCTCGCAGGGCAGACGTGTGCGCTGGGATGATGCTCACGTTCCCCGATCCCAGTTCCACAAGCTGTACTTTCCCCGGTGAGCGCCCCGGGAATGCAACGACTCTAGAGCCCAGACAGCACAAGCCCAGCGGGTTGTCTGCCGTCTCAAAGATGGCGGTTCTTTCAGGGGGCGAGGAGAACTTGTAGAGGTTGATGCTGTTCTGGATTGCAATGGCAATCCACGACTTGGTCAGGCGCACGCGCAGCACCGCGGTCTTTTGCTCGAGCGTGATGGCGATTTTCTGTTTGGCGTCGTCCCATATCATAACCTGTCAATTATATCAGCGTCCATCGTCTTCATCCAGTTGCCTCGTTCCGTACTTTTGTCTGAGGCCATCTGGGATTCTTGCCACCTCCAACCAAGGCCAGATAGTTATATCGCCCCAGCATTTCCGCCGTACCAATTCCGGCATTTAAGTCTGCATTTTGAATCAGAACGGCGAGGGTCCGAAGGAAGTCATGAGGAGGGTGGTACCTCTGGAAGCCTTGAGTTCGCAGGGATCCGAATTGAAGACTGGAGAGAACATCAACACTCGACAAGGTCATTACGCGGAATGGAAGGAGGGATTTTGCTTATACATACCACAGAAGCCCGTGTCGAGGCCAATAGCGAAGCAGCTCGCATCGCTGTTGAACGAGGCTGAGAGCGCAATGGGCCCTGCCGACTCATCGATGACAGGACGGGTATTCATAATGAAATTGGAGGCCAATGATGGACAACAATGCGATCATTGTGAGCAGAGACGAGGAGGGTCGATCAGGGAGTGAGCAGATCCGATATGGGATTGTTGGACATTCCCATGTTGTTTGTTGGTAAGATGTTGCGCAATGCTGCGCCAGACTGGATGGACGTACTCAGCAAGATCATCAAACAGCACAAGCGTGGGCAGAAACACCCACCACGCTGGCTAACCAACAATATGACGCAGGTGGGCACCTGAAGCCTAGTAGCCTGGTGATAGCTGGGAACACAGGGCTAGAGCCTAGTAGGCATGCCTGGCGACTGGCGAGCTGGGTGCCTATCGCGCAAGGGTCCTGTAGCTGGGAAAGAGCTTGGGGGGTGTGGATGGGCTCGCTAGGCTTGGCGGACCCGGCGGGTTAGCCGCACCAAGCAGAGTTGCTCTTCGCCCCAGCTTGCCGGCCCTAGGCTCCGCGAGGCACCTAACAATGCGGACCCCCTGCTGATTGAATGCCCCGTCAGAAGGGAGGCGAGACGGTCAATTGGCACGGTTGTGTGGCTGTGTCATCCGAAGTCATCCAACATTCTTCCACAGCTTTGGGCAAGATGTCATGACCTGCCCACGCGACCTGATTGCTGAGAGATCAAATAGCCGTGAGGACCCCATGATAATTCCTTCTCACAGTCACCACAGGGGCACAACGGCTGTCCATCACATCAATCAAGCTGCAATAGAATTCCCATCATCCCTGACTTAGGGACACTGGGCTCGATGTGGACTTGAGCTGGTCCTCGACATGCACCACAATGAGGTAAAAGAATTCAACAACCAGAGACGTCTTCTTCGTCACCGACAACGATGTCGTCAAGAGCAAGCGAGGAGAGTTATCTCTCGCCAAAGCCGTGGCGAGCTGGAGATCCCTGGGGTTCAGCAACGAAGCTCCCAGGCGCTTATCCGCCATCGCCCGAACTACATGAAGTCGATCACTCCGGACCTCAATCACTATCGGCTGCTGTCAAGGCTCGAAAGGACGAATACATCCGCAAGAAGTCTATGAAAATCAAAGTCGGCACTTGGAATGTTGCTTCAATCAGTGGAACCGAGAGAGATCTGGGTGCTTGGTTTGTTGGGGGAAAAGGCGTCAAGGGCCTTTCGCAGAACTTATCGGGCCTCTCAGTCGAGGACAGTGATGACGATTCTGACAGTGACAGAATCGAGTCTGTCGAGGCTCAAGAGGCACGTGTGGCAAGAACAAGAAAGAGTGTCACCATACCCTTGGATGATGCTCCAGCCGAGCCACATCACGAGCAGATCGACCTGTACGTGCTAGGACTACAGGAAGTCATTGACGTGACTTCCATGACCGAAGCCATCAAACCTTACACAGACCCAAACCCTGCCAAGAAGTGGAAGAAGTCTTTGAGACGAGCTTTGCCAAAGGGATACAAGAAAGTGGCCGAAGAACAACTGTTTGGTTTACTTCTCCTCATTTTTGCATCTCCTGAGTTGGCGCCCAGCATTAGTTCAGTAAGTACGACGTCCGTCGGGACTGGTCTGATGGGCTATTTCGGCAATAAAGGTGCCGTTGCTGCGAGGCTCGTGGTTGCGGAGGCGACCAAACTCTGCTTTATCAACTGTCATCTGGCTGCTGGTGCAGATCAAGCAGCATTGGCTCGCCGTATCTGGGACACCAGTCAGATTTTGAGCAAAACCCGATTTTCTCCGGTCACGGACAGCGAGGTCATTGAGCCTAGAGAAGAAAGGATTGGGGATGAGGACTTTGCATTCTGGTTTGGCGACCTCAACTATCGGCTGGACGATGTCCCCGGTCAGGATGTCAGAAGATTGCTATTGCTGCACACGCAGAACGAGTACGACGTCCAAAACAAATCGAAGCGCAAAATCGACAGTGAGCTGGGTTACGTGTCTGCCTCGACCAGCGATCCGCATTTACCGGCTCCGAACCCGAACTATGAGTACAAAGATGCAGAAAGACCGGCCTCGGAAAGCACCGCTGAACCAGAATTAGACCCCAAGTCTGACCCTGCTTCACTCCATACCACTCTTCAGTCTCTACTGGCCCACGATCAACTGCGCGCGCAACAAAAGCTGGGCCACGCGTTTCACGAAGGGTGGCGGGAAGGAGAGATCAACTTCTTGCCCACTTACAAATATGATGTGGGTAGTGTTGGCATGTTTGACTCGGGAGACAAGAAGAGGAGTCCTAGTTGGTGCGACAGGATTCTGTATAGAACTCGTCGCGACAAGGTCATATTTGAAGAGAGGGCCCGGCAACTCGAGGAAGCACGCAAGAAGGATGCTTCAATGAAAGCCCGCGGGATCGACGAAGCCACCGCGGAGCACGACGTCCTGTTTGATTATGATCCCGATACAGATGGACTTGCGTATGGCGATGACTACGACGAATACGACGAGACGCAGGATGTGCTTCATGATGCAGAACTCGTGCAGTCACACGAGGACTATGGGGACATGATTGAAATAAACAGCTACATCTCACACCAGCGGATACTCTCATCCGACCACAAGCCACTGAACGCCGTTTTCACTATACTGTACGACGCCGTCATCCCCGAACTCAAGGCGAAAGTACATCAGGAGGTGGCCAAACAGTTGGACAAGGCAGAGAATGAGGGCCGTCCATCGGTAACCGTGGTAGTGGACAATCATTCCGAAGAGCCGATTCCGAACGCTGACGGTGCGGCAGACATGAATGTCGTACACTTCGGTGAAGTTCGATATGGTGTCAGGAAGACGAGAATGGTCACTATAGCGAACACAGGGCAAATCACGGCCAAATTTTCTTTCGTGGAACATCCACTAGACTCGGGCAAAGATGCACGTGCAGTACCGAGATGGATTGAACTCAGCGTCGAACCTGGCTCTCTTCATCCTTCAGAGGGTGGCGAGCACAAAGGGACACGTGAAATTGTCCTGTCTCCCGGCGAAACCACGGTTGTCGACCTGACTATTGACATTTCGGATGGCGAGTTAGTACGGGAGTTGAATGACGGGACCACAGACCTTGAAGACGTGCTCGTCCTGAGGGTCGAAGATGGTCGAGATCACTTCATACCTGTCAAAGGCACATGGCTTCAGTCTTCGTTCTTCCGTACGCTTGACGAGTTGGTGTTGGCACCCGAAGGCGGCGTGCGACAGTTCCCCCGGCCCCAGAAGGCGAATGGGTCGGGACCAAACACGGAGACTACAAACTCGGCTGCTCATCACTCGGCTCCCAAGGAACTGTATACGCTGACTGAAATCCTCCCCATTTATATTGAGCGATCAACAGCAGAATGGGGAATGTTGCATGAAGGGGAAACGCCGCCGTGGCAACATGAGAATGGAGGTGCGTCTTGGCCTTTCAGTGCTGACACTTGGAGCTTGCCCAAAGGCGAAGAACGGACCGAACTGTTGGTCGGGGCAAGGGAAGCATTGGACAACGCAAATCGCTTGGACATCAATTTCACACCGGATGTTCCGAGCATCGTTCGACTGGAAGTACTCGCCGAAACCCTCATATCCTTCCTTCAGTCCTTGAGAGACGGCATAGTCCCTGCGGGGCCGTGGGCCGAGGTCGAGGGGAGGTTGAACTCTTTAGAAAAGGGGAAGACGCAGCTGGCACCCCAAGAGATCCAGGACTTGGTCATGGACGCCTTGTCTTCTTCTGCGGTGCATAGCGTGTCGCTTACATTTATCACGTTTTTGCTGATCAGAATTGTCAACGAGATGATGACAAACGGTGCTCCAGCTCCTGGTTCGGCCACACCGACTACACCGACCTCTTCGAGTCGGACCTCGTTTGGACGGTCGAGAGCGTCCACCGTCTCCAGCGACTCGGGTCACAGGCTTTCGACATCGACACAAGAAACGACATCCAGCAAGAGAAGTCTCTTCCCGGCACTGCGTCGACGCCGCACGAATAGCATCTCATCTTCGTCTGCGACATCAGAGACGGGTGCAGAGACGGCGGCAGCGGCTGCAGAGCGACGGAAGAAGCTGGTCAATGCCTATGTTGAAGTATTTGCCCCTGTTGTCTTTAGGGCTGAAAATGAAGGGCGGCTCAAGGGCAAAGACAAGAAGGCGTTGGACGCTCGCAAGAGACGAATACTCGAGGCATTTCTCAGCGAAAGGCAGTTCTGAGGGCGTGCATGTCTCGCGTTTGGATACGGCATGCGAGCGGCTTCCAATAGATACCAGATAGACGTGCAAATTCAGATTTCCTTTTCTTTTCCTGTGTGACCAAGATACCTACCATAATGGAGAGTCCAAGTCACTGCTCACATGGCACATACCCTAGTTTCTGTTCATCAAACGAGACTCCGCTGGCAAGGTATTTAGCTCGTGCTGGGAATTCCCCTTTTGCCATCAGACGAGGCTGAACTGAGTTCTCGCCGAGTCGGGCTCGTGAGTAATTAGAGCCTGAGCAGAGCAGAGCCTTGTAGGATAAAGGACGCTGTGACGTCAACGTCTTGGCATCAACGGGCACCTCGGAAACTTCTCCTTTTCGTTTCTTTTCTTTTCTTTTCATCTCAGCTTTCGTAAGGGCCAACAAAAATCGCTCGCTTTTTGTCATCCCCAGAATGATGTCTTCTGTGATCCTAGTGTCCTAGTGGGTTCCAATCCCCATTGGTCGATTCGCCCATGTCATTCACAATGTTGCGCCCTTTGCTCGAACTGGTCGCGTGCCGCCCGGGAGAAGCTTGAAGATGTTTTTTGCGCGGTTTTAGTACCTAGGTACCTAGAGAGGACCGCACAATGACGGCACGCGGCTCTGTGTTCTTTTTTTTCGCGCGAGATTATTGTCTAGGTACCTAAGGTGAGCACCGAATGAGAAATATACCTAGGTATATATAACCCCCCCATGTCAGTCCATCGTCTAGAGAGCGAGACAGGTCTACGCATCTGCAGCATTCAGCGTCATTCACCACCATTAGAACCCACTAAAGCCCAAGCCCGATAACTCCAATCGGATATTTTCACGACCAAAGGGAGAGGCAAAACAGAGTAAACAATCCAAAGTTATCGAACTCGTCAAAACTCATCAAAACACTTCCCTTACCCTCCACCCTTACTTTCCAAAACACCCCGTACTATATCATACCCATACCCCTATCCTCCGACCACGATGTCCGCCCTCAAGAAATACGTCCCCTCATTCCTCCTGCCGACCGACCACCCCCAAAAGCCCGGGCGCATCTACGACGTGCCTCTCCGGAGACCGCTCTTCCACAAGGCCCAGCCGGGCAACGAGCACAGCGCCACCGCTGAGGCCAGCCGCAACAACAGCGTCGCGAGCGAGGAACAGCGCAGGAGAAGTTCCGCCGCTGAATCGAGGAGGGAGAGCTGGCATCCCGGCATGGCCTTTGAGGGGTTGAAGGCGAAATTGCACCTTTAAATGTCTAAGTGAGGTGACTAACTTCTGTAACATTACGATATGTCTCGTTTGTACGACTATGTATGTCTACTGATGGGTTGGTGGGTCGGTTTCATTTTTAATTGCTAGCAAGCGAGATGGGGTTTGGGGACAAGGTTTGTCTTGTATAGCGAGATCCAGAGGATTGGAAATTAATGAATCGTGCCCATATGGCCGTTCACCTGGCGGGTTTCCCGCCTTCGGGGATTAGCATAGAGAGATAAGTAGTTGCTGTTGTTGACTTCTCAGACGAAATTGTCAGTGATACTTCGGTCATATCGTAAGTATTATATCTCGGAGGGAAGAAACCTTCTATGTTGATGAATCATGGGTGGGTTGATTCGATACACAGCTCCAGTAACGCAGCCAAAGCAAATTCTTTCCTTCGGTGCTACGATTTCGGCGTGAACCTCGCGACGATCCAGTTCAGATCATTCTCGTGAGGCAGCGGCCACTTTGCATAGTAGTACCACTTCTGGTCGTCTATATCCCACTTGCGCTGTGGCACAAAAGCTCCAACGGTGTAGTAATTGTCGCGCATATAAAGTGGTTGATAGCTCGGGGGCCCCTTACGATCCAGGAACTCGTCAGTTCCAGCAGCGGCTTCTGCGTCGGTAAGATGATACAGACGAGACTCCGGTTTTCTGGCTTTGTCTCCTTTCTTCTCCCATTTCCCAAATCGGATGATGGTGCGGATAGTTGTGTCGAGGTGCATTTGCAGGATCCGTGCATGGGTGAGCGGGCTTTTCGTCGCTTTCGCAACGATCGCAGCGTGCCGATCCAGCAACTTAACGTTCCAATCCGGGTTCCGTCCAGGAGGTATCACTGGTAACGGTTCGCGGTTCTCTAGGTTCTTCTGCCAGTAGGCGAGGTCGAGAATAATGTTGAGGTTGTTCCACGAAAGGACGCAACTCACACACGTGCACAGACGCGACGAATCAATCTGCTTGATATGTTGGTATTGGATCTTGTGGATTCGACCTCGGCCCTGCCGTTGCTCATTCATAAGCGCTGGTCGAGCGATCGAGGGAACTTGGTCGAGTGACACGGGTGGCGGAAAGCACTGCCTGAGTGTCCAATAGCGACGGTTCATAATGTCGTCGGCGATTGATCGTTCGTTGTCCAAAATGAACATGTGCATGGACTTGTTGAGAAGAAGCAAGTTGACGATGTCAGTAGGTTGCAAGAAGCTCAGTATCATGGAGAGCAACTCCTGAGGGAGATCGAGGAATGAGTGGACATCGGAGTGCACTTTCCGGGCCTGCTTTTTTTGCTGTCGTCTTTGAAGGCGGGCTGTCTTCTTCGAATGCAATGCCAGGGCTGCCGTAGTGTCGACTAGAGGTTCATTCTCCGCAACGACTTTCTGTCGCCTCCAGGCCACATTGTTCACATAGTGGATGGGCACGTCGTTTGATTGATCACTCGTCTTTGCTTCGGAAGTATTGGTTTGGCGGGCGACACCGTTGACATTCGACGGGCCAGTTGCGTCTTCGACGGGGTCAAATGTTTTAGGCACATGCGAATCCTCACGGTTTTTGGTAGGTGAACGCTCAACAACATGGCCTGGTCCTCCTGGCATCACCACTGCTTCGGCTTGTTGGATTGGACCAGCCTGGGATTGGATATTCGGAAGCGCCGCAATGGAATCCCGGGTAGACACAGGTCGAAATATCGTGTCTGATTGGTAAGGGAAAAATGGATATAAATTGAAGGGCGGGCCGAAGCTGATGCCGAGGCTGAGAGTGACGAGGCTGTGGCATCGGATGTGCAGATTGCCAAGAATGACGTCGCCGCACCTTGAATGCTACTAGTATTGACCTCGCGAGCCAACTTCAAAAATAAGTGGCATAATTATGCGTCTTACGAAAAGAGGGTACGCCGGCAATAAAGTAGAAGTGATTAACTATTAGCTATTAGATTATCTCCCCTTATATAGGGTATTCTATCTACTCTTAAGTATAGCGGGATCCTTATACTTATTACTAGATACTGGCTATTACTAAATAGGTGGTCCTCTCGTCGTTATTCAGCACTCTGTGTCACACTGCCATTTATTTCTGAAGTTGGCTTGCTCGTTGACCTCAGCTCAATGACCTCCTGCCATCCACCATATCCATTTGCGTCAGCGTCTGCTGCTCGCCATGATGGACATGGGAAAACCAACAATGTCTCACTCTTTACAGATAGAGATTCCCCTTCCATCTCCAGTCCTTGACAAGCTTAACATGACACCTTAAGCGATACATTGGTGGCTATAGACTGGCTACTACCCCAGCGAAGTCCAAGCTTCTACTCTTGCAATTGTGCCAAGTCAACCAAGGACGTAGACAAGCGCGCCGACACACGCTCGACTATACGACAGAGTTTGAGTGCGGCTTTAACGATCCACCGCAAGACTTTCAAACAACCTCAGCAATCCGAAAATTCAGCGAGTCTGTCGATAATGAGTCCGCAGAGCTCGATGAAACTAATGGTATCATCTTGAAAGAGGGGACTACACTAGCCGCTGGATCGAATGCGAGTTACAGTATCGCGTTCTTGGTCACCCAAGCAAGTGTCAAAATCGGCAATTCGTATATGGTGGCCATGACCGAAAATCTCACCGAACCCGCCAAGTCGACAACAGAAATAAGTAGCATAGGGTTAACGAGAACTGGCGTACGACAGGGTAGCAAATTAAAAGTGATTAACCATTAGTTATGGGGTTAGTATCAGTTTAGAAGGGGTGTCCAATCTATTCTTGATCAGCGGGATCCCTACACTTATCACCAAGTATTAGCTGTTTTCTTCCACGGTGGCCTCCTCGTCGTTAACTATGTCAGACTGTGCCGTTTATTTCTGACGTCGGCTCGTCGCACAGTCAGCATACAAAAAGAAGCATGGAAGCCTCAATCATTCTATGCCCAAGATCTAGAGAAGTACCTATGTCTGGCAATCAAAGCGCCGTACAGCACCATCTATAGGCGACGGCTCCAATTTCAGACAGCCGCAAGGCCCGGAAAACGTTACTTATATGCCACGCACTACTCACGCTGTTTCGCCGGCGTCGATTCAATGTGCCTGGATGGGAGAGAAAGATAGAGTGCCGAATGTATGATAGAGCTATATGTGTAGAATCCGTATCTATGCCCGCTGAGGATATCTCGGAATACAGAAGGTCGGCCTCATCTCAAGCTCGATGGAAGCAAGGTTTTGACAACAAAGGCAAGGCTTGAGATCCCCGGCGTCCATCCAATCAAAGACCGCGAGGCTCGCCCTCCAGCCTGCGACGAGGCTGCGGAAATGAAAGCTCCACCGAGAAAAACCGGGGACATAATTCAAAGAATGGTCATGCCACTCACTCACTCACTCACTCACTCCGCCGCCTTGACCTGCCTACCTACCTCTCTCCCTCTCTCTTTCCGTCACACACAGTCTCGCTACTCTCCTTCTCGAGTCTCTACACTGACGGACGAGATCACCTACAGCTTCCGTCCCTACCGGACCGCCGTCCTACTTCTATTTCATCTCCGCCAATTCATCCATTGTGCCACGAAAGCAGCTTGCCTTAACATCAACTCGGAACATCCCTAAGTCGAGACGCTCCAGCTCTTCTACGCACCCGTTCACCTTCTGGAAGAAAGAACCTAGATGCTCGCAGAGCGACAAGGGCGGTGATGGTTGTTCGCAAATTCCTCGAGCGCACGCTGCGCGGGACGAATCTCGAGATCTTCAAGGTACTTACCTACATACCTACCTACCTACCTACCTCCAACCCCATCCGCCTTCCTCTCCCGATGCCCACCACCCCATCCCATGCTCTCTACTCTTCTCTTCCTTGTTCCCCTTTCTATCTCCGCCACCTCCACCACCTCCATCCTTCCTCCCCTTCCTTTCCCTCCTACATTACTAATTCCTCTATCCGTCTTTTGTCTACACAATAGTTCGGCCTCTACCTCTCCTTCCCCATCGGCTACATGTACTACTTCGGCACCAACCTGGAGAACCGCTTCGCGGTGCCGGGCTTCTGGCCCACGCCCGAACAATCCCACAAAATCCCCTACGACAAGGACGAGATCCGCGCCGAGATCGAGCGCCACCAGCGCGTCATGCGCGAGCAGCGCGAGCGACGACAGCGGACTATTACCACCGACGAAGCGGCGCTGGACCAGGCCAAGGTGGCTTTCGCCGCGCAGAGATCCCGGAGTAGTAGTAGTAGCGAGGAGAGCGGCCATGTGGGCGAGGACGAGCAGAAAGAGACTGTCTGATATTTCTTGTTCCTCACCTATGAAAACACATTGGCTGGAGGTCCTGGCTTCGTCATGAGTATTTATCTAGATTTACAAGGGCATGGCGACGGTGCAACCGGCAAGGATTTGAACGGACATTTTGTGGTATATGATGCATTGGGAGCATCCATCTCTACACAGACAAATGGAAAATGCATTGCGCCATGAGACACCCTAGGGCGGACTACTATACTGTACATTTACACCGCTTTGGGCTTGTACATTCCAACGAGGCTAAAAGTACATGGACCAGTGGGCGGCGGGTTTGTGCCGACCGAGAAGCAGTGACAGAAACAGCTGTATAATTAAGGTGTCGTGGTTGATTGATAGAGTCTGTATCAACACCGGAGAAGCAGTCCACTCGATTCAAACACGCTTGACAAGTTCGAGCTCCCCAAAAATCAGCAATCTTGCGATTGAATGTTTGAAACAGTCAGCGCATGAACGCCGAATCGAGATTGTCCGTTCTGACCTTATGAGGTAGCAACGCGCCGCGTACATCAGAAGTTTTGTTACCCTGAATGCTCAATACCGAACACCATGACCATGAGTACACCAGCTCCAATAAAGCACATAGGGGGTATCATCAAAGTATCAAAGTTCTTTTAAGGTTTCCCTGGCTGATTCCACCACCCGCAGAGTTGGCTTCACAACCGACTCGATTGCTTCGGAAGTAATGCTCAGCCCGTCTGCCGTGAGAGCCATTGCCTCCTCTGACAGGTTTGTCGATGTCTTGTAGGCGAATTCACCGGAGATATAATAGCAGATACGGTGATAAATGACGACAATGTGATTAGGGAGGTAGAGGGTTGCGGCGGTGACCAGCATCGAGACCAGCAGGAACAGGATCAAATCTGCACACAGGGTTGTCAGCTCTGGATGAAAGAGAGCGCAGCAGGCAAGGAAACGCACTGAAAATGAACTTCTCCGTCGGGGTGAGCATGTAGAGGGAGAAAGTGACTTCGTATTGGTATTTCTTCAGCTGCACCCAGTGAAGGAAAGACGACAACTGCGATCTTTTACCCTCCTTAGCGACTTTGGCATAGTCGGGAACGGGCATTGCGAAGGTGAGAAAAGGCATCGGCATGAAATTCGAGGTGGACGGTTAGAGAGGACTGAAAAAATGCGGTTTGCGGTGGTCGACGATATATGGGGTACCGAGTACTTCTGTCCCGGCGGTTCTAAAGGGGACTTTGAAAGTTCCGAGGGGAGGCAAGGGTAATCCAATGAGGACACGGGTCTCTTGGGTGAAAATGTCGCGGTGTGTAATTAGGAAACGAGCGCGGCGAATGGTGAACGAGGGTGAGGGTGAGGGCGAAGGCGAAGGCGAAGTTGGCGGTGGGCGAAAAAAGGAGGCTCAGCCAAAAACTCAGCAACGCAAGACGCTGAGTGAGAAAAAGGGCTAGGGCGAAGGTGGTAGTAAGGACAGATTGTCGAAGGGGTCAGGGTATTGGATCGAGCAAAACCGAGTTCAAGCGAGCGAAAGGGATTAGTTTTCACAAGAAAGTCGAAGGGAGATGAGATGGTCGGTGTTGCTGAAGTGCGAAGGGAGCGAAAAGACACCGTCACCACCGTGGGATTGAAAGAATTTTGGCAAGTGACGCCAATGATCGCGCCTTTGTTTAGCGACCCCTGCAACGCGTAGAAGCCCAGGTGGGTGCCAGGGTGCACCCACCTGGGTGGGAGGGCGGGAGATGTGTGGGTGAATGGCGCCAGTAATGTTTAGGTAGGTGCAAGATCGCTAGAAGAAGAGTGAGTGGGCGGCACAGGTGGCTTCCCCGTGGCGTGAGCATTGGGACCCACGGGCTAGTTAGGTAGGTTAGGTAAGTGATTAGCTAGGCGTACGAGGGTACCTAGGTGGGTTCTAGGTGCTCGGTGCTCGGTAGGGGGCCCTCTACTGGTAGTTACAGGGAGGAAGCACCTGGAAATTCGGTTATGCTGGTGGGAGGCTCGGTACCTAAGTAGAGTAGGTGCGCCTATTTCCCGCCTGCCAGCCTTCCTGAGGGGGTAAAAGGTTGAATTACTTAACCACTGACGGTTACCAACAGCACCACTCTCCCGACCATCTCTTCGGACATTTCATCTTCAATCACTACTACAACACGTCCTGCCAACGGCAAACCTGCGGCTGACTCAAAATCTCATCCACTCAATGCTGCATGATGCAGACATCACATAGCATCCCGAGGGCCCACCCTTACGCTCATCTCGGACCGCTAAGCCCTCCCCCTTGCGAGATCTTAATCAAGCTCCAGCTTATATTTTCCCCATATATATCTACTCATCAACATCACTTTCGGCGCGGAGATGATTTTCTCAGAGGACCGGCCGATAACCTCTCTGTCCGCACCAGGTCTTTGTGCAAGAAATGTGCCTCTGCGGCTCGGAACGGGTGTCATCATGGCGAGATGGGTATCCTCACTCGTTTTCTTAGCTCCAGGCCTCAGCATTTCCATGCTCCTTGACTCGTGGACTTGCCATGCCCAGACATTCCCATGCAAATGCAAGAACGGGAGTCCATTTTGCACTGCCTCGCTGACTGATCCACTCTGTCTAAGACTTATCCGGCTGCGTCCGGCTCTGGGTTGCCCATTGGGCGTCTCGGCGTCTGGCCAGGTGCAAATGCCCCTGCACATCATTGTACTCGTATGCGCCAAGGAGCTTGAGCTAAAGCTTGTGGAATTGATGATGTTGGAAGCGTGGGTTACGCAAAACTAATCTGCTACCAATTTCATTGAGAATGAACAACAAGCCCGAGTTCACCGGACCGTCGGACAAATCCCTCAGCCTTATATCGAAGCTCCAGCCTTGGCCGCACAAGGCTGAACCCGTGTATTATGCATTGATATACCAGTTACCTACTACCGGAACCCCCAACTCCCGAGTCCAGCGAGATTGGACTCAACTTAATTCATGCTCGATTGAAAAAGAAAAGAAAAAGAAAAACAGGGTGGGGAATGTTTTGAAGAGCCTGTAGTTTGAGATGTACAGAGGAGCTTCTCTAACCAACACTCGTTGACGACATCGATCGAATTCATGGGTAAGTTGTACACTACTACTGCTGGGGCAGCTCCTTTTGACGACTCGGATTACATGTCATCGATTTCATATATGGACCATTCCACTATCCGGACAATGAAAAGGGGGAAGTCTGGCTTGCGCCAGAACAATATGTCCCATTTCCCCCTTGATGCCGTGGTGAGGAAGTGATATTATGCAATCTTCTTGCGAGGAACAGGTGAGTCGAGTTGTGGGTCGTCAAAGCTCATCTTCCAGCGAAAGAAATCAATCATCGAACCTGTCTAGCTATCGTCTATGCATGCGTGATTTGTTACCAGCCCTCTGCGCTCCTTCCATCTATTTCTTTAGACCTGTCCCACGCAGACTAGTGGGCTCCTGTCTACCTGCTGCTGCTCTAGCCACTCCAAACATGGCTCGTCCTGAAGGGGCAAACGACCATCAAGAAAACGAAAAGAAAGAAATCCCTTCAAGCATGACTTCTTTTTTCGACACCCATGCCTGTCCTACGTCCATCCATCTCAAGCCTTGCCGTCCGAGAATTGCACGACGGCCCACTTCCCGCTCCACGCCCACATTCTCGCTCCGGAATCGCCTCCGCCGCCTTGCGTCGCACGGATCTCCTCGTCCTTCCCCTCGGGCAACCCGACGACGACGTCTGCCTTGCATGTCCGCAGCGCGAGCACTCGGATGCCCGACGACGGACCAAGCGGGCCGATTGCCTCGGTGAAGGGTGTGGTGGCGGGCCAGGCAGCCTGTAGCAGCAGCAGCGCGTTAGCCCGACTCTCGCTTGACTCTGTGGCGATGGCAGAAATAAGGAATGGACGGGTGGGTGGTTATGAACCTCGTATGTATGGATGAACGAGATAGGTATGTTTAGGCTCACGCGGGGAATATGTGTAGAATCGGGGGAAGGGGGAAAAGGGGTGGAAAAGGGGTGGAAAAGGGAAAACATACATCTCCAGTCAACTTCCTGTAGTTCAAGTCGCCCTTGAAAATGACCAGTTCGCTCTCCTTGAGATCCTCGACCAGCGCGGGCGCGACGTGCGGCATGCGCCAGAAGCTCCCCGCGTGGGTCCAGAACCGATTGGGACGGAGGATCAACTTGCCCTCGCTGTGCAGGTGGCTCCAGTGGTCGAAGAGGAACTTGATGTTGGCAGCCTCTTCGTCCGACAGCGGGGCTGGCGACGATGACGAGTTGTTGTCAGCGTTGTTGTTGTCGGCATTCTCGTAGAAGGCCTTCGGGTCCGCCATGGCCTGGAGCAGGGCCTGGAAGTCGCGGGGCACGACGTCGCTCACGAACCAGGGGATGTCCTTGGGATGCAGGACGACCTCGGTGGCCAGGCCCGTGGCGAGCAAGTAACCGGCCAGCACGAGGTCGACGAAGAGCTCGAAGCCCGCGTTGTCCAGCACGATGTCGACGCGGCGACGCCGCGGCCGCTCCTTGTGACCGGCCGCATCGTTATTCAGCACCTGGAACGCGCGGCCCAGGTCGTTGACCAGGATGTTCTTCTCCGACTCCCTGCGCGCGGAGCTGCCCTGCAGCTTCTGGATGTCCTCGTACGTCAGGCTGGTCAGGAGGCTGAGGTCGGTGGCGTTTCCCCAGAGGCAGATCTCGGCCATCTCGACGAACAGCAACTTCTCGGCCTCGGCGATCTGCTGGGCGTCCGTCACCCCGGCCGCCACGGGCGCCTGGGCCGCCGAATCCCGAATCTGCGTCATGATCTCGCGGTACCTGGCCGCGAGCTCCAGCACCGCGGGGCGCGACGACTTGAACGTCTCCATCTTCTGCCGGTAGAACGGGTCGTAGTCGCGCCACGCCTTGGTCTTGGCCGTCGAGAACAGCGTCGCCACGCGCCGGTACAGGTAGCATTCCGAGAACAGCCACTCGGCCTTGTGCCACGTCGGCGGTCCCCGCGCGGCCAGCTCCTGGTTGTATCCCTCAACGTCCGGGTACCCGTCGTCCGGGATCGGCGACAGAGGCCGATTATGTTGCAGCTCGTACTTCAACGAGCCCAGCGTTGAGATGATGGATTTGCCCTCGGCTAAGGCATCCTTTTCCGAGTCTGGCAGCTTGGACACGGTCCGATGAACGTCGTCTATGGCGCCTGTGACGATGGCCGGCCATCGCTCCCGCGCAGACTTGTGAGCGAAGGATGTCGGGTCCGATGTCTGGTAGGTCGGCACTTTGGGATCGTACTCCATTCTTCCTTTGCTGGGGCGGGTCTACTGCAATTTGTCTTTTCTTCCTTCTATGCAGGCAGAAAATCGAGCAGAGTGGGAGTGATATATATGGGAATGTGAAAAGACCATGCCATGATGAAACTTTTGGTTGAGCGAGCCTCGTCCAAAATTGCCGCATCCAATCATGCCAAGCACCAATGAGAAGAGGAAGCGGATCGACGAGGCTGAGGTTTCTTCGCTCGAGGCAAAGCACTGTACCGAGTATATAAGTTATATAAGGGGCATTGAAATTACATATCAGGACTAGTAAAGTCCTTTGATTCTCTATATTCTTCACCCTCATCCAAAATCCATGCGCAACTCAATGGCCGGCCTCGCTTGCACACTTTCCTCTTCAGTGGCTTCCTGTTTTTTGCCAACACCAGCAGCACGCAGGAGGTTTTCCAAATCCGAGCGCTGGTCCTCGTCCAACAAACCCACCGTCATTCTGAACGCTACCTGATCCGTCGCCACAAGCTCGAGCAGCCTTGCGGCGCTCTCTTTCCGCATAGCGTCCAGGCTACTTCCTCTAGGAATCTGTTTGGCACGAAGCAGGAGCAAGGGTACCAATATGGACATGGCAGCAAATCGACCTGTGGCTCTGATAGTCACCACGGCCGCGACGAGAGCTTGTGTCAATGCCGTCTTCACGCTCTCTGGATCCTCTGCCTCCGGGTCGCTCACGTATGGTAGCAGCCGTGTCCATAGGATTCTTCCAACTGCGTCATCGCAGGGTGTCTTGGGATTCGTGACAAGCAATGACCGCATACAGCCAGCTGCGATTTTGGCAAGGCCCACGTCCTGAAGGCAGTCGAGTAATTCCGATAGTGATTTAGTAATAAGCTCGTCGTTGGCTGGAACCACCGAGCTGGCGGTGGTGAGCAAGATTGTCATTGACAGCAAGGTGTTCTTCGCACAGGTGATCGCATGTTCGTTTTCTCGGCGCTGAGCTACAGCCAAAATCGATAGCATGCGATACAAGCACCCGCGGACGAGCCTTGAATTGACTTCGTCGGGGCCGGACTGGACAACGTCCTGTAGGAACGTTTTGAATATAGGCATGATTTGTGGCAGCACTTCATCCTGACAAACGCCAGTCGCAAGCAGGGTACAGTAGCTGTGAATGATACAGGCATGCAGATCCGCTCGAATGATAGCCGGAAATATCGAGGCCACATCCACCAACGCCTGGAAGCAGAGTTGTACAAGGGCAATGCCATCGTCTCCGAGCCTTCGAAATGCAGGGCCTGGCGGATCTTCGAGGGTTGGTATGAGACCCGTCAAGACCAAAATGATAATCCTCGTCAACTCAAACAGCTGTTCAATGTCATCTGAGAGTTTTTCATCGCGATCTTGATTCTTCGCCGCGACGTGATCCAACGACAAATTCCGCGCAATTTCAACCAGAACGCTCTGCGTCTCTCTCGTGCTCGTGAGAGCGAGTCGGTCCAAGGTGTCCGTTGTTTCATTGAACACTGCCTCCTCGTAGATCGCATTGCCACAGACTTCTGGGGTCAGTATCTTCCTTAGAGCTTGCAGAATTGATAGCGCCTGCGAAGGGTCTTCCCTAGCCTGGGTCACCAAGGCCTCAAAAGCCAGACCGAAAAGGATGAAAAAGAACGCTACAGGTTCCTCACGGAAGCTCATGTCTCTTCCAGGCGCAGCAGCTTCGTCTGCGGGGCCGTCAACTGCAGAATTGCGTTTGTTATCGAGTGCGTCGAACACCGACTCACTGTCCTTTTCCACAAGCACAGCAATGGCATCTACAATGCTTAGCCAGTTCTTTTGGTAGAATTTTAGACGGACTTCGCGGTTGAAGGAAGCGTATCGTTCATCCAAGTTGCCGCCCGCAATCTCGCCTCCCAGGGTATCTGAAATTTCTGGTTCAAATCGCAAGCCAGCAAACTCTTGTAACGATGTCAGCCAGAGCGGCGCCAGTTTGGGAATGAATGGCTGCAGGATTTCCTCTAGAAACGGCTGGTCAGAACTTGCCAGCTGTAGCTGTGCCCAGCCAGACAGAATGCCCATCTTAAGCATGGCCTGTGCATTCGGACTGAGATCTTTCAGATCACCAATTGCGGCTTCTGGGGCAGGTTGGGTGAGATTGTCCACTCCCATGGCAAGAACCTTGAAAATACGACCCATGCGTTCCGCGTTGGTCACGATCCCTGTAGCAACAAAAGTAGCGCATACGCCGATGGCTTCAGCCGCTAGTTCTGGAGACGAGTCAGCAGCGAAGGCGGGTGTAAGAGCCGAGCTGATTTGGGCTTGATATTGCTCGAGAAGAGACGCTTCCAGGAAATCAGGGTCCGCAGTCTTGCCAAACATCTTCAGGATCTGGTCAATGATTCGAAGACCCCAAATGCGGAGCTCGACCACGTTGGCAGTCGAGGCTGAAAAGGCAACGCGAATCACATCTGCGACTTTGCCCTGTAAAACTTCCTCGGCAGGAATAACCCGGTCGGGCGACATGGCTGCTTGGATGATATCCATTGATTCGCTGAGCAACCGCATAGCAAAGTCTCTTGTCTGCCAGCGGAGAAACTCTTGACCTTCTGGCGCGGCATCGGCGGCGTCACCTTGTGCAGCTGCTGCGGCCGCAGCAAAGCCCGCAACTTCTTCATCTGCCAAGTCTGGCATGGCGGTCTTCGCGGTGGTGACTCGGGATGGTGCCGAAGCCTTTGTTCTCGTCCTGGAAAGGATGCTTTGACATTTGTCAATCCATGCGGCTGTGTCAACAAGAATGGTTTGCTGCATCCAGTTCTGCAGCATCCCTTGCAAGGCTTGATTTTCCGGATTCTCGTCCAGGCGTGTCCACAAATCGTCGCTCAGCTTAGAAGTTGCCACACGTGCAACTTCTGCCGAATTCCTTTTCATCAATTCCCTTAGGCATTTCATCGCAGCGGACTGAAGAAGATCTTCATCAGACGAAAGATTGGCCTGCAGATCCAGGACGTATTTGGCAAACTGAAGATGTGCCGGCGCATACATGCAAAGATGACGAAGGCATTGATAACTTGCACTGCGTAATCGTGCCGAAGGCTCTTTTTGTAAGTAGCCGATCAGAACCAGTATCAAATTGCGCGCTTTGGAGACGTCTTGCAGGTCGGGCCCCAAGACGTTGATGATGCTGTCGACGCATTGAGCGAGAGCCAAAGGTGTGAAAAGCTCAAGCTCCAGGTTAGATGTCGCCAGCGACGCAGCTTCCTCGTTATGGGTGTCACTTGAGTACAGCTGAGCAAGAAGGCCCAGAGTGCTTGTAGCGTATGTGGAGAAAGCTAGTCCAGCGGACTCGGCCACCAGAAGCAACCCCTTGAGAGCCCAGTAATGAACGGTAGTGTGGCTATCACTGCACAGTGATAGGAGTACGCCGACGATAGACTTGATGTGAAGACTGGCTGCCATGGCGCCTACTTCTGAGTGGATATATCCGAGCGCAAGAGCACACCCAGCACGAGCACTGGGGTCTCGATTGGCCACTATGGTTTCGATGAGAACTTTGACCTCCCTGTTGGTGAATTGGGTCCCAGCAAGGTTGCATATACGGCCTATAGCACGAGCAGCTATGTGCCGCAGGATTGGATCAATGTTGCACAAATATCTGTCCAAGAGTTCGCTGATGACTTGTCCCACCGCGCCGACATGCATTTTGCCGGAATTGTACGGGGTTTCGTTATTCGCAACAGCGAGCGCGCATAGAAAAGCGAGGGCGGTGTTGATCTGCATTGCTGCTTTTCTGCCTGGTTCACGTTGGAGTGGCTGAGAGACCGCAGTGATTAGCTGCTCCACCGTGCTCTCTTGAATTCGAGAAGACTGGAGAGGCAATGATATGGCGAAGAGCTTGATCGCTAGATTCACGCAAGATGTTGCGGGTGAACTGATCTCCGCTTCATCCAGGCGATTCTCCGGCCTTGCCAGCAAGGCGGGATCGTGTTCAATTGCTGGCAAGGCAGGGCACCGGACCAGGATATCTGGCATAGAAATCTCTTGTTCCGTATATGTGTCAGTGTTCAGTTCAATGTGGCTCTCAAAAGGCAGGTAGGTGTCGAAACTGTCTGCCAAATTGCTGACACCGAAGCTCCAGTTGTCTTCGGTGGCCCACAATCCCTCAAAGTTGCTCGCAGTATTTGCCAGTGACGCTTCCAAGCTTTTCAGAACCGGACGTTCCGGATCGGTGAACGTCCTCATTGTAAGGCCTATTAGATCCGAGTGAGACACAACATCGCCTTGCTCGAGATGCTTCAAGCTGACCAAGGAAATGAAGCACTGGAGTACGCGTCGGCGGAGTAATATTGCAAAGTCCTGCAGCTGCAGAGCTGGCAATAATCGGTGAGACACATCCTCTGACTCCCGAGCAGGCGGTAAGCTATCGAGGAAAAGTATGGTGTTGTGCAGCATCGTTGAGATTCGCTTCGAGCCGTCCGTCGTAACCAGCCCACTGCAAGAGGAGAGAAACATGAGCAGTGAGCTCAAAGCACATTCGCGGACGTGGGACAGAAAGCTGAGCTCCAAATGTCCTCTTTTCCCGGCGTTCTCATGGGTCAGCGGAGGAGGCAGCGCATTCCGCCAGAGCAACATGAGCTGATTCAGGTGGACTTTTACAAAGCTTGGTCCTAAACTCATCAGACCCCCAATCAAGGTCCAAGCGACCTGAACTTGCATAGCCGAAAGCCGTAGTTCGGCGGCTGCACTCGACTTCAACAAGTCCGTTGCAAAGGTGAAAATGGCCGAATATGTCTGGACGGAGCCATATAGCGGTCTCTGGCGGGCGCAACTTACAGCAACTGCAATGGCCGCGGCAAATCCGATTGACTTGCGGTGTGGTTGCTTGCCGTCGGACGGCTGAAATTCTTTCTGCAAATGCGACATAGCATGCTCGATAGTTCGCATGAGCTGGGTCGGACATGCGAGGATAAAGGCCCTGAAGCATTGAGCGGCATGACTCTGGACCGTGTGGCTAGGGTGCTGGATGACTTGGAATAGTGCCTCTCTGCACGAATCTTGAAATATGCTGGCAGCTGGTCCTAAGCGCAACAACAAGTCTGTCAGAGTAGTCAAGGCTCCAGCAAGGATCCGCTTGGACGGTTCGCGTCTTTCTGGCAGCACTTGAGGGTAGTTCTTGACAACATCATTAATAAGGTAGCGTGCGGCGTTAACCTGGGCGTTCTCCGTCAACAAGACCGTGACATCGGCAAGTATCCACTGGACCAGTTTTCGGGTAAGCAGCAATCGATGTCGGTTGAAGGAGATGGTTGGGTGGTTTAGCAAGTCAGCATATGTATGCACTGCTATCGAGGCGTAGTTTTCCTCCAAGGCTTTCCGAGGCAGTAAGTGAAGGAGATATTTGTAACAGACTGCAATGCCTGCTCGAGATTTGTTCGTTGTCGACGCCCGGCAATACTGTTGCGATAGGACCCGTAGAACTTCGTTCAAAGAGAACGTCAGCCGCATCGAAGTCTTGGCCTGTCCAGCCGACGGCGAGCCAGGCCGTTCAGCCTCGACTTCCTCATCCAGGTCATCTCCTGGCTTCTTGGACTTTTTCGGTTTCCGCAAGACCGGTACTTCGGCGCTACCGTTCGCAGAATATGCTTGGTTCAATGCAGCCGCCATGGCGGCGGCGGCGGCGTGCCTGACAGGTGGCGTGGAACTGTCGAATGCTTTCCAAATGGTCGTCTTCAGGTTGTCAAAGTCATTCGAGTTGTTAAAGTAGCCGGTCTCGCTAGCCAGACTGCGGAGGCACGAACATGCACATCTCTGGACAAAGGTTGATTTTTCACCTGTTGCAGCATGCCGGGCTTGTTTCCAGATATCCCGAGCAACGTGCTCATCGAGGCTCCGTTGTATCCCGATGATCAGCCCGCCCAGCGCCCGGAAGACGCACCCCCTGATTCCAGCATGGGAAGACTTCAAGAGCTTGAGGATTGTTGCAACCGTGAGACCAGAGAGACTGATGGCACTGTCTCCAGCCGCGCGGAAAAGGGCCCCCAGACAAACCACGGCCGCATGTTTGGAACCCAACTCCTTGTCCGTCTTTCCCGCATTCAAGATAGCCAGGAGATCGTTGACCGTCTCATAGAGGAGACTGCGGCTGCCGCGACCGAACGCATCTGCCAGGATCCTTCCGAGGCCGTTTCGAATCACGCGAGATGGCACAGGAGAACCCAGACCCACGATCTTGATCACTTCCTTCTTGATCGAAGCCTGGTGGGAAGGCAAGGCCTCCGCCGACAACTGCTCGACGTGGCGCTGGAAGTCGGACACGAACGTCAACAGATACAGGTCTTGCTGCTCGGTCGGTAGGGCGTGCAGCTTGGATACGTCCAGTTCAAGGTTCGAGGTGCCGTTGACCGCAGGCGCAGATTGCGGAGCGGGAGCGGCAGAAGGGGTCGCCATGGGTGGAGGACGGGAGAGATGCGAACGCCCTTGATGGACGAACGCTGCAATGTCCGTTCAAAGTCATATATGCAAGGCACGACGGACGCTCAATCCACTGTTGACCGTGTTCCGCAACTTCAGCCTGCAATGTTGCATGTCTGTCCTGAATCCTCTGCTTGCCAATTCCTCGCGCAATTATTCTTTGCGCTAGACTGATTCAAGTATCCACCGTGCTCTTGGCAGTCGTAATACTGTGGATCATTAGTAGGTGATCACGAAAATACAGGGGCTCCAGCCCGGTTCCCAGAGACACTTGACATTGAAAATATCGCCGAACGAGTGGCTACAGCTTCGACAATCAGTTACTTCGTAGGAAGCACGCAGCCTCCAGAGCCACATGAATCCCATGACTGTATCCGACAGACGGGACACTTGCACCATTCCGTCGAATCTACGAAAGCACTCCTGCACTGTTATTTCACCGTCCTACAAGGGTTATCACTGACTGAAAACCGGCATCGGCTTGTGCATAAAGTACATTGATTGTCCCTAGCTGCAAAATCATGCCGAAGTCTTCTTCTTCAAGAACAAGCTCTGGACATTGCAGAACGACTTGAGGCCGCCAATGCCCCATTCGAAGCCAATACCACTCTCCTTGTGGCCGCCAAAAGGCGCATTGGGGTCAACCTCAAGATGGGTGTTAACCCAAACGCTACCGGCATCCAGCTGTCGAGCGATGCGAGAGGCTTCATCCAAATCATCAGACCACACCGAAGCTCCAAGACCCATCTTGGTGTTATTGGCGCGGGCAATGACATCGTCTTCATCGGTCCAGGTCATCAGAGGGACAATGGGACCAAATGGTTCCTCTGTGGCGATTCTAGAGTCATCTGCAGGCTTGTCGATAATGGTGGGTGTGATAAAGTAACCAGGCTTGTCCTCGTTCTTACCGCCAACTGCGACGGTCAATTTCTCCTTTTCAATGTCGTCGAAGAAGGTCTACAATGACGTTAGTGGGAGAAGAGTCAGGGACGGATGTACTGCGCACGACTGGCGCACGACATACCTTGACTTTCTCGTATTGCATCTTGTTTTGGATGGGTCCAAGGAAGACTCCCTCCTCAGTGCCGTCGCCAACCTTGATTGTCTTGGTAAACTCGACCATGGCGTCTCTAAACTCGTCGTGAATCGACTCGTGGACATAGATACGCTTGATGGCCAAGCAAATCTGGCCGGAGTTGAGGAAGGCAAGTGTACCAATCTGCCGTCGTCATTAACTGCAACTCCTGGACGGGGTTTTGGAGCAAATTACCTTCTGAGCAACGGCTTTGATGTCAACATTCTTGCAAATGATGGCGGGATCTTTGCCACCCCTAGAAAATGTGAGCAACACCCCGAGCCACGGATGAGGAAGAATCACACTTACAGTTCCAAGGTCACTCGCTTCAATGTTTTAGCCGCGCTCTCCATCACCTTCTTTCCAGTGAATGTCGATCCAGTAAAGCTGATTTTATCAGGGCCAGGGTGGGCCGTCAGCCAAGGACCCAGGTTGTCATCGCCGCTCAGAACCTGAACGACACCAGGAGGGAAGTATTGCTGGGCGAGTTCACCGAGCTTCAAGTCGCAGTATGGTGTAAAGGGCGAGGGCTTAATAATGATCGGGTTACCAGTAAGGACTGAAGGAGCAATCTTGCCGCAAGCAAGGTGGACGGGGAAGTTCCAAGGTACGATGCCCACGGTGACTCCGAGAGGTGTATACCGGACAATGGTCTTTTTCTCATCGTTCTCTTCCACGACCTCTTCCTTGAGCTCTAGCTTGGACAAAGCCCGCATCCAGTGGACACCTGTGTTGACCTCGCCGACGGCGAATTGGAGCTGTTGTCATGGCCTTCAGTACAGAGCCAGGTTGAGAATCCTCGGGACGTTACTTACCGGTTTTCCTTGCTCTTGAGTGAGGAGCTTTCCAAAGTCATTGGCATATTTTTCTAGACCATCGGCGAAGGCCAAAACAGCCTCGCGCCGCTTCTCATAAGGAGTCTGCGACCATGACTTGAATGCTTCCTTGGCAGCTGCTACAGCATCGTCGACGTCCTTTTGGGTAGAGACGGGGACTTCTGGGTTGGGCTTGCCCGTCGCGGGATTAATGCCGTGCCTGGTTTTCTCGGTGCTGGTCAATTTTCCATTGATGGTGTTGTAAAACCCGCTGAAAAGGTCAAGTCCTGGACCTGAGATCGAACCCATCTTTGAAGGCTGTTGGCTGGCGTTATAATCAATTCCTGGTTTCAAAGGACTTCTTCCAGTTCAATCAGCTAAGGGACGGTAGAAGATATATCGGCAGCATAAAAGCAAAGCAGCAAATCTCCTTTATGAGATCCTCGTCGACATCCCAAAACGAGGGGCAGTCTTGGAGCGCGGGGCAGGGCCACACCGGCAAGTCACCTCGGAATGGACAATAGGTTTCTTGAGACATCAACGCCATAGTTAGTATCCGTTCCGGGTCCTCCAAAGCGATCTGCACGGCTGGACTAGCCACGGCGTTTGGCAAAGTACCTCGGATGCTAACTGTTCTTCCTCGATCGCGAGCGCGAAGTTTCCTGACCGAGGTTAGTCGCATGAATGAGGCGGCGCAGGATCATCCAATGGCAGCTCCATGCTAAAGGAAGGGCTCTCAGCTTTCCTGACTCCCTTCCAGAACGCATTAATAATTACTTATCGTTGGAGAGAGGGCAGTCGCACTTCAGAGCTCGTGGCCGCCCTTCCCAATTCCGAGTCAGAAAGCACGACTCACCCCGCCTGGCAAGCACTTGATCGAATCGACAGCATCGAGACATGATCAGGAAAACGATCGGAGGCACCAGGAGAGTCTAGAGATGGATCGATTCTCGCCGGAAGACGGATCCTAGGCGCTTCCGTGGTAGGGAGAATATCTTTAAGTTGGATGCTTCCCTCCTCTCGCACGGTCTGAGGTTCGGGGTGACTGGGACTTTTATTACGAAATCCCCGAATCTCCCTCGAGTCATTGGCAATGATTCGTGCCCTTTGCATAAACGAATCATGTCCATACCATACAGTCGTACACACACCCAGCTCCCCGCAAATCTGCTCCATTGAAAGCCCATACTGCGGGGTTGAGGGTTGAGACGACGCACCAGAGATGGGCGACGCTGCAGAAATGATACAGGGCCATACACCCAGTATGGCTACTAGGTACCCTAGGCACGTAGGCACCTAGGTTGGTTCCCATGTGCCAGGTAAAGTCGACTTTATAGGTGAGGTCCAGCCACAAGAGGTCTATAGGCTTTACTGGCTTCAGCCGTTCGACGGTGGTCATCCCTTCTTTTCTCTTCGCAGTCCTCGTCGAGTGTGTCGTCGATACATTACAAATTCCAGATAACCTTGCATCCATCGCAATGGCGACTATGGTAAGCGTGGTGCTGCCGCAGAGAAAATATATAGAGGCTTAGATCTTTACAGACGACTACAGTTCCTGCCCCAGTGCAGGCCAAATCCAGCTCTGGCAAAGCATCTGAGAAATCGCTTGTGGGCGATTTCAACTGGCATGGTACTGTTGCGTGCAGCTGGTCTTGATCATGATGCTTATTGCTCCTACAGACGTGCTCGTGCCCGACAACGCGGGAGCCGGTCTCGTCAAATGGCAATATCAGCGTCGAACCCTGGTGCAATACGCCTGCCTGTTCGCAGCAGGCCTCACGTCTTTCTACAAGTTCCAGTCGCCTGCTCTGCGAGCCGCTGGTCTGGGACTGCTGTTCCCGGGGGCTGGTCTCGTTGCCGTCTGCACTGTCCCTTCGATTCTATCATTCGTGGTCTCCTGTGCTCTGATCCCGTTGGTGCTCTTTGCCTGGTTTGGGATGGGTGGATTGGTTTTCCCCATTGTGCTCTGGGTAGGCACCGCCGCTCTTTCAGCAGCGCTGGCCAAAGAATCCGTCCTGGAACTCGCCGGTCCGTTGATGTCGGCAGTATGCATCGGCGGGATCGTCTATATTGCATACTCGTGCCAGCGGGCGAATGCTGAGAAGCGGATGAAGCGAGCGACCCGCAACAACTATCTCGTAGAGGAAGTCCAGAAGAATCAAACACAGGCGGCCGCGGCGCCCGAGCCAGGTACGCGCGAAGTCGACGAGCAGACTCTCCGCTTCGTGCAATGGTACTTGGAGCTCGGCCTGACGCCCAAGGACGATTTCTCCTACCACGATGTGATCGACCAGTTTCAGACGTCGGCCATTCGGTATCAGCTGTACGAGGCTGTCAATTGCCTGGGACTCTATCAGAATGTATACTGCCCCAATTTCCACGGCTATTTGTCCCAGGCACAACGCAATGCCATCGAGAAGAGCTTCACGAAGAAGGTAATGGAATTCTGGAAGTGGGAGTCCATGGCCGGCAAATTCAACGCCCACGACTGGGATCCATGCAAGAAGGACAACATCATGGTGACGGGGTACATTCTTCAAGCCGTCGGCATTTATCAATCCAACACGGGCGACGACCGGTACACCAGGCCCGGCAGCATGACCTTCGAGATCACAGATTCGCTCAAGTTCCCCTACGATGTCAAGGGCATCGCCGATGCCGTCTACAGAAACATGAACGAGGCGGCGTACTGTCTCTATCCCTGCGAGCCGAACTGGCTTTACACCCCCTGCAAGTAGGTTTGCTTTTGGTCCTCTTTGCCGGGCGAGCTCGACAGGCAGTCAGACAGCCATTCACTAACTCTTGCAACCACTTCTTCTAGCCTCGTTGGCATCGGCGGCATTACTCTCACCGACCGTCTCCTGGGAAACAAGTACGGCGAGGAACTACGAGGGCGATTTGAGCATGCCCTCGAGACCGAGTTCAGCGACCCTGACGGGACCATCCTGCCGATCCGCAGCGAACTCACAGGTTTCACAGTAAGTAACTCTGCCCTCGCTGGTCTTGATGAAACATACACAAGTTGACACGAAATGGCGTTGAAAGATCCCTGGTCTCGCAGGAGCCATGTCCGACATGGTAAACTCGCTCCTCTGCGCCTCGTACCTTCCTCACATTGCACACCGAAACTGGGGTAAGCGACTTTTATTCTTTCTCCCTTGATAATGATGGCCGAGTCTAAAAAAGATTCTAAACTTTGCCGTTCTTTTTAGCATTTGCCAAGAGAGAAACGCTGCAGTACAACGAAAAGGGCCGGCTCGAGGTGCGCAACTTGATGGGCGCCGACATGCTGGATGCGGGCAACTACAAGTCGGGCGAGGGCGCGATCCGCTGCATCTGCGCGACCGCGGCGGCCGAGTACGGCGACGAGACGCTCCGCCAGGAGCTCTTGCGCCAGGTCGATGAGGAATACCACCCGGTGTTCCCGACCAAGACCGCCGCGTTGAAGAACAAGGGCCTCAGCACACTCTGGCAGGGCACCACGCTGCGGGCCAGGCTGGGCCGATTCCAGGACTGGACCAAGATGATCCAGCGCGGTCCTCCCCAGCACATCTTGCAGGCTCCCATCCTCGATGAGGTGGCCTTCCCGGACGTCCTGGTTGCCAAGTGTTATAGCCGGGACGGCGTGAGTGTGGATCTCGTGCTGTACAATGGTCGAGAACCTGGGGTGTTTGGTCTCGGCTTCAAGCAGTGTGAGCCCGGGCAGAAATATAGCCTGATGGGGAAAGAGGCGGTCGCTGAGCAGGACGGCACGGTCAAGTTCAGTGTTAGGATTGATGGTCGCACAGAGGGAAAGTTGGAGCGTGTGAAGGCAAATTGAGACGAAGGAGTCCAGGGGAAATGGGACATTCTTGATCCATCTCGTAGATGCCTGTCTCTTTTGTCCTCCGATTGTTTGGGGCCTGTCGGCCGTATCATAACGGAGGACAATTTCCATGCAGCGAAGTGCAGTATAGTTTTTCTCGACAGCCTCGGATTGGGTTGAAGCAGCACGAGAATGGAAGTCACTTGTAAATTAGTCGCCCCAGCCCAGTTTAGTCCAACCCAGATCTGGTCCAAGGCATAGACATTCAGAGGCTGATGTGTCAAGAGAAGTCACAGTGAATGCAGATTGGGCGGAGGCAGAGCCACGATAGGGTCGATGTGTATGCAAACCTAGTACACCTCTATTCCCCGCCTACCGACTTATCAGAAAGAAACGCTTGACACAGCAGGCAGCCGCGGAGGAGTAGGGACTTGCCAGAGGCAAAGAGGATTTTGTCAAAATTAATGCCTCGCTAGGAGACGGGCGGATATACAATGGCGAGGAGCTGGCACTATTGCTCTGCTCGGCGTCTGGCTCAGGCGGAGCTCAGTCAGGCTCGGTGGAACGTCTGATTAGAACAGCCTTCGCTCTTGCGTCCGTGGGTGACAAGGGTATCGGTGGCTAGGACAGCAATTGTCCGCGTGATGAGATCCTGAGCAGGAGACAGGTCGGAAGCCCTTGGGCAGTCTCCCACCGCAGCATGATAACTGTGTGCGCTTCTGGTCAGGGCTGGATGGTCGCAGGATAGATAGGAAAAAATGTTTTCCGACTGCCCGACCTGACCGACAGACCGACCTCCTAGTAGACTTAGCTATTTGAGGCTTCAGCGCGGATGTCGAGTTACTGGATTGGATTCGACTGACCTGAGCTGGTATAGGACGGGCTGGACGAGTGCCTGGTCAGCGATAACAACACGAACCCATTCTGATTAGCCATACACGGCCCAGCCCTCTTATCTGTCCATGTACGTACTGTATTTAAGTTGTCTGGGGATACTCACATGTATCTAGGCATATAGATTTGACGAGTATGTACCCCGGTACTTTCTCCGTAGCTTAACTTTGACCGCCCGGCCAACCACCTGGACACATTCCGCTGTCGGATTTCCGTTGTCCGTCTTACGCAACGTTGGCAGTTGCACTCCACTTATGCGGTAGACGAAGAGCCATTGACCGCGAAGCTTTCCGGGCCCTGCTCGGCACCAGAGAAATGCTGGGCTCCAAGTCTAGAAGACGGAGGTTTGTTCCTTGGTTGGTTGTGGAGAGGTCGCGTGCTGTCCTCGTACTGGCGCGGATAGCGATAAGGCTAGAGAAATCCGGGGAGGCTGGAACCAAGCTAAAGCCAGATTAAAGTGCTTATAAACACGAGCAAGAAGATTTCTTGATAAGAGAATGGACGCCTGAGACTGGAATTTTGGGGATGTTGACTCGTGCAGATTGGCCGCAGCCTGCACGAAATGGCTTTCCGATAAGCTTGTTATTCCTGTCGAAGGATTTACTCATGAGGGGCCGCTGGACGAGCTCTTCGTATACAATAGGAGCCGCCCTGCCCATTGCGCCGCCTCCGCTGCCCAAAGCCTTTCACAATGGTGCAATGGCTTATATATAGATGTTGATTGGCAGATCAGCCACGCCATCTGTGTCAAGCCCGGCTCTGCCACATGTACATTGTACGCGCAAGACCGAATGGGAGCTTTCCGGTGGAGGGTTGAACCGACCCACCATGTCCTTGACTAATAAGTTGTTGTACATGTTCCTGTACCTGGGAAACATCCTTGTACTTCAGTCTGGCTGGCCCACAGAATGATCCACCGTAGTAGCCAGGGTTGAGATCCTGATTCTGCATGTCTCACTGTGACGTGCAGGCCAGGCCAATTCACCATAGTTTCATCGTGGCCAAGAGAGACGAAACGGCAATGAAAAATTTTATCCCGGTATTGCCACGATTGCCTCAACCTGACCCGTGTTCTGTAGTATCGCAAATTGCTTGTCGACGGCTTTCACCCAACAATCCTGTGTATGCAATGAGGCTCTGTATGCTGCCAATCCAGGAGACAAATCGGGAACGGCGTGAGGAGGTCGTGCGCATATCTGTCGCAATAGTGTTTTTGACACAGGTCGAGAACACAGCGGCAATATTATTCCGAAAGTGGCTGTCAAGTTTCTTTTCGGTCAGATTGAGGCTAACCGCGCCGTCGTGTTAGTCGTTTTCTGATGCCATTGGAAGCGGATGGCGGAAGCACTCGTCATTTTCGCCGCCAGATGGTCCTCTTCCAAAATTGTGCCCACATGGGCCCTGTAGAATATGGCTGCCATGATGTGATGGTTGTCACTGTCTCGTTACCATATTACACTCTGGATCGCTTCAGAGCTCGACGCTTAGGATCATGAAGGAACCACAGCCATGGAGAGAGCCTTATTATAAAAGGTGACATTGGACCCCGAATCGAGTGTCTCGGAGCCGAACGCAATGTAGCCAAGGTAGTCTAGGAAGTACCGTCAGCATTGAAAAAGCTGCACCGAGTAGAGGGTTTGGATGAGAGGATCAAATGGCGGAAAGAGGATTTCGACAATGCTTACCATTCACAGTAGGCCCTCCCAAGCCGGTCAGACCTTGGAGCAACGGGCCTATATCCGCGTTGAAATCTTGCACTCCGGTTGCAGCATTACTGGCCACCCATGTGAGAACGCTTTGGCCAATACCGTTGAGGCCGGAGTATAAGGAGAAAGTGGTTCCATTGACAACCTGGGTTGCAATTGCTCCTTGCTGCAGACCAATTTGCTGTGTCGAGGCACCAAATTGGCCAAGCCAGATCATGACCTCGTACTTGGCTTGCACCGTGTCGGTGGCTTTATCGGGATCTGAATCCAAAAACATGTCGATGGCCACGTTGGCGTCAAGTGAAGCAGCAGTCAGGTCAGCGACATTCATGGCCTCGGGCCTGTCATCGCCGACCCCATAATACCATTCTGTCTCGAAGTTGATGGCGGAGACCTGCGAGATCTCGATTGGAAAGACATCCGAATCCATTTTGATGTTGGGGAATGCGTGAACGGGCTGAGTCTCCGGGCCACGGGGAAACTGCCACTGCAAATCACTGTCAGTTGTTTTTGTCGACAAGACGCCGAGCCCCGAAGATGGCGTGCCCAAAATAAACTCAGTCAAACAAGGACATGACTTACAGTGATCGACCACTCTGCCGCTGTTGTCTTGGTCGGGTAAGAACCATTCTGCGTATCGTTAGGATCACGTGAGTATGGCAAAATTAGACAGAGCAGGCTTTCCAGCCGAGGAGACTCACATCATAGGTGGTGACCTAGCACCATTGTCAGCGAGACTCTCAACATTATTTCCAGGTGCTCTGCTTACATTCATACACAATCCTCCCGGCCCCGTATAGTCGTCAGGAAGGGCCCATTGGTTGGGATTTCTGTAAAGGATGGACTGTCAGTGTTCAAATTGCCTCAACAGTGATTGGTTGCGACGTCTGATAGGTACGTAGTGCCTCGTAAGGTCGGCGGTCGGAAGGCATATCCACAAGCATCAAGGTGGCAGAGGCGGACAAGATCCCTGCAGATAGCGGATCCCTGCCACGCTGACTGAGGCCAGGCCCAACTGGGTGATGGTCCAGGAACACAAAAAACCTTGACAACTCAAAGTTGTCAAACATGACAGGGGTACTGATAATTGCGCAGCCGGATACGAGACAGTCGTGCCGTTCATTGAGACCTTGGGGGGATCATTAAACTCACAATGTGTATTGCTGGCCTTCTGTATAGGGAGTGACACCGAAGGCCTTTTGACAATATAATGAGGATTTGATTGCGTTGTCCACGAAAGGGTTTGCGGGGAGTCCTTTGGACTCGCGATATGCTTGTATGCCCAGCAGCACGCTGATGGTCACCGCTATCGGGATGAGGACAAAGCCGAACGAGACGAGAGACCTTACACCCATGTTGACGGGAGGAGGCGGGTGTCCGTGTTGATGGATTGCTTTGAAGGACAAGCTGGATGAGTGGAAGGGTTAAGGTGGTTATATGCAGTGCCGAGTACTCGGGGACGCGACAGGACGAGTTGGTGCTGGGAAATGAATGAACAATCTCTGAAACTGAGATTCCTTGGTTTGAGCAATAAAAAAAGAGATGGTGATGACGATGATGGGAGAAGAGGATGATGGTCGGGGATGGGGTGAGAAGAGGGAGGAGACGCCTCGACGCGTAAAGCCGGACAGCAGAAGCCGGGCAAAACTGGCTGGAAAGAGCCGGGGCAGTGCAACTGATACAGATGCAGGCACAGGCGATAAACAACAATGTGGCGAGTGATAATTTTGTTTCGGTCTCGGACGAGATATTAAAAACCAAGTTTGGTTGGTGTGATGGTCTGGCATTGGCCGGCGGCATGGAGCCCGTTTCAGCAAATCTTGGGATATCCGCAAGACAAGTGCGTGTTGGCCCTTGGGTGTCTTGCGCCGTGCCTGGTGGCCTGGCTCCGGGGTGTTGACAGGGGAAGCAGGGCCTGGAGATTTGCAGCCATTTGCAGCCTTTGGCACGCCAGTGGCGTCGGGGTGGGCCACTGTTGCAGCTCCCCTAGCCCAGATCAAGTGCTAGTGGCCCCCAGCCCACTCTCGCTTGCCTGGGCCCTGTTTAGGCTGCTTGTGGTTGGTCCTGTTTTTAATCTTCAACCCCCCCTTGCCCCTGCTGCTAGCCTCGTCACTTTGTCACTCGCGGCGTGCCAATTTGCATCTTGTCCCAAATTGCCTTGTTTGTCCAGCTCCCGGAACAAGTTTACACGGTCACTGATGGGCACTCGGTAACTCGTAGATTCTCCGCCCAGGCACGAGTATGGACTCCGTCACCCGTACCGCCCCGTTATCATCGCCCAAAGCCTTACCTGAACTGCTAAACTCCTCCGTAACCCTGCCTTCCCCGGTCGTAACAATCACCGCTGGCTTGCCCCCCAGCCTTCCCGGGTTCTGAGCGCTGCTGTCGGCCATCGCCATGTCACGCTGGTGATCTACCTGCGGCGTGCAAGGGCTTGTTGCTGTTTCCCACTTGGGGGCCCCAACCACTCCACTATGACATGATAAGGTCGTTCAATGCTGCCACCTACTGACTTGTATGTAACTAGCGCAGAAAACAGACAACGCCTTCTCTCAGACAAGCCCGAGTCCTTTCACCTGTCAAACTCTGCCACCCTCACCTTTCACTCTTCCCGTGCAATTTGCCTCGCCTCTCTCACTCCATCCATCTATCCCTCGTTTTTGTATATTCGCAATCCATACAGTCGTTAAGAGACTTCAACTCCCCGTGAGCACTATCGTTCAGACATTCGTTATTTATCCAACCAACGCGTAATAAACGCAAAAGGGACCAGCCAACAATCCACATCACGTCTTTGAAAAGCGGATGATGAAGACGCTCGTTTCGTGACACGACAGACGCATCTCGGGCCAGAGTCTGCTCAAAGCTTCACCCTTGCATCCTCCCTGTCCCAACCAATACACCGCCCTCGTTTTCCCACAATGCCTCCTCTACGTAAAGCGGATCGAAGGAGATTCGAACAACCACCCATGACCGAGATGTCGACCGTGTCGATGCAGTCCACGCTCCGACAAAGTCAAGAGTCATTCATTGAGAAGCCCACAACAGTTCATCCGGTATATGGGAGCTACAGAGAAAGCGTGTCCCTTGATGAACAGCCCAGGCTGGCGCGGAGACCGGGTCTATCAGACCTCCACAACAGAACCCTCTCGGACCTCATGACTGAGAGCATCGCGGACAGTTCTTTGGAACCCCCCAATGGAGGATTTCCGCCGTTTGCGCCTGGTGCAGGCTCTGGCGCAGTCTCGACCTATTCCGAGTCGCAGACGCGAAGCTCTTCTCCTTATCCGGTACCGTCTCCTTTCGTAAGTCCGAGTCTCTTCTCCTAAGATCATAGTCAACTGACCCGTCCACAGCGAAGTCAAGAAACATTAAAACCCCTTGTCCCCGACGCCCCCTCAACATTCTTCAAGAGAGATTGGATTAGAGAAGGGTCAATCGCCCAGCTACATTCGAGAGACGACAAAGAGTTCCTCTCGGGCAAAAAGAGATTGCTTTTCCGCTGGGTAGCGCCGCTCCTCTGTTTGATTTCCCTGTCGTTGTATTGGTTCTACTTTGGCCTGCGAATTGCCTTCATCATCGATGCCCAACATCACTACAAGGCGCCTTTCCCTTTAGCTTGGGTCTTCGTGGCTATCGAAATCTCCATTGCAGTGCCGATTTTTATGCAGACCTTGTGGTCCCTGTTTATCCTCAAGAAACGACACAGACCAAAGTTGAGGCTCGTTGGGAATGAGGTGCCTACCGTCGACGTCTTTATCACATGCTGTGGCGAGGATGACGATCTGATTCTCGATACGGTTCGCGCAGCTTGTGACTTGGATTACCCTCAAGACCGATACCGTGTCATTCTGCTCGACGATGGCAAGTCAGACCCGCTCAAGAACGTGCTGGAAGAGATGCGGGAGACGTTTCCGAACGTCTTCTACATGCGTCGCCCGAAGTTCCCTGGTGTTCCTCACCATTTCAAGGCTGGCAATCTGAATTACGGACTGGACGCGGTTCAAAGCCTGCCAGGCGGATCATCGGAATTCATGGCCGCCTTGGATGCTGACATGATACCTGAACAACAATGGCTGAGAGCCGTACTTCCCCATCTGTTGATCGATGAAAAGATGGGTCTTGCTTGTCCACCGCAACTGTTTTACAATGTCCCCAGAGACGACCCTCTCTGCCAAAGTCTTGATTTCTTCGTTCACGTCTCAGAACCGGTCAAAGATGCTTTGGGAGTGGCATGGTGCACAGGGTCTGGATATGTTGCTCGAACTGTTGCCCTAGCCCAGATTGGCAATTTCCCCTGCGGATCGCTGGCCGAAGATGTTGCAACAAGTACGCTACTACTTGGCTCAGGCTGGAAGACAGCCTTTGTTCACGAGGCGCTACAGTTTGGCACCGTGCCAGAAGACTATGGCGGCCATCTCAAGCAACGTACGCGGTGGGCCATTGGTACCGTCGATACTGCCTTCAAGCTTAAATTCTGCCTCTGGGGTGACAAGGTCAGGCAAATGACGTTTGCCCAGCGATCGTCCAGCTTCATCTATGCCTTCCTCAGCTTGTTCAACATCTTCCTCACACTCTCCATCTTTGCCATGCCGATTGTCCTGATCGCCAACAAGCCGCTCGTTGCATACGCAAACGATACGCAACTACGGTGGCTGATCCGTGCTTGTTTTGCCAACATGGTGTTCAATCGGCTGTGCGAGTTTGTCCTCTTCATCCCCGCGGGATATGCCACTGGACAAAGAGGTAGCCGGTATCAGCTGTGGATGGCCCCGTACATCTCCCTCACCATCATCCGATCATTCATTCTTCCGACTTGGTTGGGCGGGCAAAGACAAGCCTTCAAAGCGACGGGTTCGATCAAGTCCGCGCTGAATGAGCGAGATCCGAAACTGCGAGCACCCATGTGGCGACGTATCTGGACAATCTGTGTCAATTATCTCGCGGGCTTCCATGTGGCATACGTTTATTTTGTCCTCGTTGCCGTCACCCTGTCATCCTATCGGACGTTCTTGACCCAACATACTCTGAGGGGCAAGCTCATCGGGCTCCTGACACACGCATTCTGGGTAAGTTTGTCTTCAGCCCTTTAGTTACCATGATGTTCTGACTTTGGACACAGCCCCCACTAGCTTGGTTGATCGTATGCTCATCCTTTTGGATTCCCTTCACCTATGCTTGCGACCCTCCCAATTGCCCGGATCGAGAAGAACTCTTGGTGCGGGATCCCAAAACCAATGTTGCACACCCAACAGCGGAGGCGAAGAAGGTCGCGTTTGCTCCGCAAACAGTCCTCTTTGAACTGGAATATACCTTCACCACCGCTTTCACTGCGCTAGTGTTTGTGGCGGCATTCTTTTACTGAGACCGAAAACAACAACAAAATTAATGATGCAACGAGCATGTCCATGACTGTCGGTTTCATTTGCGACGGTCCAAAACCGGATTATTGGAAGCGAAGCTATACACATCCATCAGGCCTATCGGTTGAAGCAGCCGGGCCTGGATCTTGTACATACGGCGAGGAGCCTTGATTCTCCATCATAGACATACACGGTTTGACCTGGCGTTTTCGACACATGTGACGGCAAGAGGCGTTTGTTGCCCGCAACGCGGGTGGATGGAATATCCGTGTGGATCAGCAACAATCTTTGGATTGTTAGGAAATTTGGGGTATTGAGGCGCACAATGCGTGGATGTGCAGCCTATCTGATACACCATAATGACAGTATAATAGTTATGGGAAGAGCTGTTGGAGCTATGGGGCATGGAGCAAACATGGAGAATATTGTCCCAGAGAAGGAATGGGAATTTGAGCATAGATATGAGTGCTGTAGGATGTACCAAGTATACAATCCTTGGCTGTCTATACAAACAGTTATGAAGAATTCAGGCTCGATCCAGCATGACTGTGTCTGGCATGATATTGAGGCACTTTGTTCTCGGTAGGGCTGGGATGGTGGAGACGTACGAGGTACGAAGTACTCGGAGCACAATTCTAGGACGACCACAAAAGCCATGTCTTTGTTCACTCGATTCTCGCTTCACCCTCATCCTCCAGCCCAAGAAGATATGGCCCAGTCAATGAATGTTGCCCTCCGCCCGCGTCAATGACAGCGTCAGTCCACAGATGGCCATTTCAAACTCACTCCAACAACTCACACTCCACATACGCACGACAACATTACGAGCGAGCTATAGAAGCATCCCTTACCCGTGTCGCTGCATCCAAAGTTTGAGGTCCAGGTGGTATGCCGCTCGCACTTGACAAGGCGCGTCTCTCAACGAACTCAATGCCAGCCCATGCCCTCACAGCTTCGCCTGTCCTCCCGCGGCGCCGCCTGGCTGGTTCGAGACGAAAGACCCATCCAGCTCCTCGAACTCGTTGAGCACGGTTTTCTTCACCTGGATGAAGCGGCCTGTTCCTTTGCTGTGGTGTTGTATATTGCGTTAGTAGATGCGATTACTTTTGAGAAGCACAGGGTAAGGAGGAGGGGAGTAACACGGTAGATCAGGTACACGAATACGTCCAGGAGGAGTGAACGTGCGTGTGCGAGTGTGCGAGTGTGTGTGTGGGAAGAATCAACGCCCACAGAGGAGTACGCATATACTATCGCATGCAATGGAGGGAGTGCCTGGTAGGGGCGGTTTGGACTCACAACATGGCTCTGAACTCGGCCGTCTTGCCGTGCACGCCCAGCGCCGCGAGGTCCTTGTACCGCTCGAACAGGAGGACCTCGTTAGGCGCCGTCTTGCTGGCCATCACACAGTACGTCAGGGTGCCGAACTCGTTGGCCTCGACCCAGTCGCAGAATTTCCTAGCGGTGGTGGTTGTGTGTTAGCGTTATCGACCGGTTTATTCGCTTTGCTTGTGGGGGCCGGATTGAGAGAAAGACCCGGAAGATAAGGGGGAGAGGGAAAAGGCAGCAAGAAGGATAGAAAGAGGGAGTGTGTTGTGCAGAATCAGGCCGGGAGAATCACGACGTACCCGATCACACCCACCAACCCGTCCTTCATGCCCTCGTCGTCCTTGCACACAAACTTGGCCAGCATGACAATGCCGGCCTTGGGCGTCTCCTTCTCGCCCTTGCGCGCCACGAACCCGGCACACGGCGTCCACTCGGAGATGTCCATGTCGTTTTCGGTGCTGTACAGGCCCTCGCGCGCCACGGTCGAGTGGTACTGCTTGTACTCGGGTGCCCTCTTGACGGCATCAAGTGCGGCGCCCGACGTCCAGATCTCGACCACCCCGAACATGCTCTCCTTTTCCGCGGCGGGGACCATGCCCATGTTGGCCTTGGGGCGCGTCGCCGGCGTGAAGATGCTGCGTGTCGTGCATTGCGTGCTGGGGCGGCGGAAGAAGGGCGTTACGGCGGCGTTGAGTTTCAGGGCCTGCATCGAAGGGAGACAAGGTCAGTATCTCGGTGTTGGCAGAATATGGATGGAATAGATAGGTGTGTCTCTTCTCGTCTGGGAGATATGACGCTGGGCATTCGATCCAGTTTTCAAACCCCTGGGGTAGACTGGTGACCTATCTCACTCTCCCTCGCTTTCTCATTTTCCAGTTCATTCCGCACAGAAGAGACTGGATCAGAGTTCCCAACGCAGATCAAAGCCTCGACACTCTCAAATCAAGACGATGCAAGGGGAAAAGCCAGGGGAAACAAGAGGAGAGGGAGCCTACGATACCTTATCCCGCTTCTCGGTGCTCTTGGGGTGTACCAGGGCCACCAGTGCGAGTGGCTTATTCTCGGTCGCCATATTGAGTCAGTCGAGGTGAGGTGAGTTGGGTTGAAGTTGATTGATTTGAGCAGCTCTTCTCTCCCTGGTGGTCTCTCTGTTCGAACTTTCTCTCCAACGCAGCTTTCTTTCGTGGGAATACGCCGGTGTGACCTACGTTCTCTTTTTCCACTGCGCTCAAGGACGTGATGAAGTGTTCTCGTCCAGCTAAATAGTCATCTTGCTGGGCCACCCTTGAGGTTGGTGGTGATAGTATGATTACTTATGAGCCAACTATCCCACCGGGTATGGGCAACGTATCGGATATACAGCACGCATTTGGGGGGAAATGCCTCGGTTCGAATAATCTTTTTTCTTCTCTGGGGTTGTTATTTTGATAAGATTAGATCAAGCCAGGAACAGGCTTTGGAAGGGGACGATTACCGGGACCTATCGGAGGCTGTGTCGCCTACTCGGGAGGGTGTCTGGGAGGCTGTTGCATCTCTACGGCGTCGACGAAAGGCGTCGGTGATAGATTCGATGGGTTCAATGGTGGTCTGTCAAGGAGATCTATGTGAGGACTGATAATTATGTGAGTTCTGTTCCTGATTATGGTGTTGTTCGCTGTAATTGCCGAGTAGTGAGACCTGTTGCCAGTTCGATATCTTTAGGGACTTACTAGGGGGTGTTCACCTAGAGGATCCCTTACCGGCGTCAGCCTTAGGCGCCATGGTAGTTAAGACTAGAAGCCCAGCTAGTGACAACAGCCCCTGGAACAACTCGGCAGGACAGCCCCAAGGCCCCAATGCCCCAAGGCCCCAATGCCCCAAGGCCCCAATGCCCCAAGGCCCCAATGCCCCAAGGCCCCAATGCCCCAAGGCCCCTGGGAACCCTTGAACAACCCCTGTGGATTCGAGCCTCCTTATTGCACCTTGGTATGTACGAGTACCTGGTGGGTGCCTGGTCCAATCCCTGAACCTTACGTTAAAGTTCTTTGTGCTGCTGTGTATATCAGACATACCATATCAGTGTTGCTGTAAAACCGTCCGAAAAAGATATCGTACCGGGGGCAAATGCCCCGAATAGGACCGCGGGAACCATCCGATGCTGCTGGAGGATCACGCAGCTTCTCACCTACCGTATCAACCACCAAGCCAAGCGGAAAATTGAATCTCTTCATTGGCGCACATTCATCACTGTTGCAGGTTGCTTTGGTCGTCGATTGGCATACTAAAGACCCCGTCCAAGAGCAGCACCGAGAGAGAACGACGGGCGATGGCGGGGCTACAGCGGCTGCGCGCTTTTACCACATGCGATGTGAGTGTCGACACCCATCCATCGGCGCCGGAAGAGGTTCCTTGTGTTGCTGTCGTTGCTGAACCGAGGCTTGTATCTGTACCCAGATCGGCGACGCGCTGGTTAAGCTGAAATATCCGTTCGGCGGCTTCCTGGACGGCATCAAGATGTACTCGCCGGATGCCGCGTCGGCCGCTGCTGCCACGAAGACAGTCTTTGGGCCCGCCGTGACTGTCAAGATGATCGAGATGAGCGACCGGCAAGCCCCGAGCCCGCCGCGGCATTTTGCCGACTGCAACGAGGCCGGCAAGATCATGTACATCCAGCAGCCCAAGGGGCTGTACTCGGCGTGCTGGGGCGGGCTGATGTCGACGCGGGCCAAGAGCATGGGCGCCGCGGGCGTGATGATCGATGGACGCATGCGCGATGTCAGAGAGCATCGAGAGATGGGGTTCCCGGTAAATCGAGTCTCTACTTCATCCTCCCCCCTCCCCCCACTACCCTTCTCTTCCCTTGTCGTTACACACGCAAGTCACCGTGGCTATACCAGCTCACAAAGGCTCCTCAAGGTCTTCGCCCGCGCCACGTCCATCCTGGGCTCCTACACCTTCACGCGAGCCTCCGAGATCAACATCCCGCTGCAGTTCCAGGGTGACCTGTGGATCCACCCGGGCGACATCCTGGCGGGAGACGCCGATGGGGTCGTCGTCGTGCCGCCGTCGCTGGTGGACCAGGTCGTCGCCCTGTGCCAGGAGCGGGCGGACATCGACGAGAAGACGTTCGCGGCATTGCGGGCTGGCGAGGAGATGGGTCCGACCATCAAGCGTCTTCGGAAGGGGTGAGTGGGGAGGTAGAGATTCCGATATAGATACGCAGTATGTACGAGGTATAGCTTATCTCACAGTGGTTGTGATTTGGTATTGATAGATTTCAGCGTTTGTGAGAACTCGAGCTCGGTTGGAAATAGTGCTAACCACGGCCCCCCCATCCCGGACATGATAGCGCGCTGAAGTGGAAACCTCGACGTTTCTTTTAGCCTTCTACAGACACCAGACCCCTTGCATGCTTTGTGGCTAACACTGGAGAAGATATTCCTCGCTCTGCGGAACGTGCTCCTTCAAAATCTCGACAATTTCACTCCAGACCTTCTTCTGCAACGCCTTCCCCTTCGGACTTGTGGCTAGCTCGCCTTTCCTGCATCGCCAGATCAGCACAGACAGCTTCAACGCTCGCTACTACCCGGTGGATAGGATCTCCCCAACTTACTTACTTGTCAAAACAATCGTGACTCCAGAACTGGCCCTGCGCGTCCTTCCCCAAAGTCGTTCCGCTGACGAGAATCCTGCTCCCTTCCTCGGCGGACCGGGCGAAGACGAGTTGGAACAGGTACGTCGGGAGCTTGAGCAGGAGGGAGAAGTCGCGACCAAGGTTGGTGCGGCACAGGTTCGGGCAGCATGTCGTGATGATGACCTCTGGATCTTTAGGACTTGTGTACGGGGAAGACGCTGCAGCCGCGACGAGTCCATCCATGACATGCAAGAGCAAGAGCTTCGTTGTGCAGTATTGCTGTTCGACATCGAAGAACCCCTTCTCGTTGACGAGGTCCAGCACCCTGGAGCTGCTGCCGAGGGCCGCATCGAGAGCATCAGGCTTGACCATGCGGTGGCCGACACTGCCCACAAACTCGAGGTGTGAAGACTCGCCAGACATGCCCGCCGATTTCCGGAGCTTGGGATATAGCAGCACAGCAAGGAGAGCGGTCGACAGCGTGTTGACTTGTAGTGACATCTCAAACCCTTCCGGAGACCGCTGGTAGGAAGACGCCGCCATGCCCGCATTGAGCACAGCGACGTCGAGTCGAGGTTCGTCCGCACACACTTGCTTGGCGAAAGATTTGACGGATTCAAAGCTGCTCATATCGAGCTGATATAGCTGTATGTCTGCGCTCTTGTATCCCGACCGCCGGCAGATCTGTTCTTTGGCCTTTTCACCGCGCTGGATTGAGCGGACGCCGAGAATAAGACGCGAGGCACCCAGCGCGGCGAATTTCACTGCGGCTTCGAGACCCAGGCCGACGTTCGCACCGGTGATGAGGACGGTCTTGCCTGTAAAGGAACTGCGAGGGTTTCCGGGTGGATTCTAGAGTCGGTCAGTCGCTTTCTTGCCAGTTTCCGCGCGAGGCTGCCGCATTCAGGAGGTTAAAATCTTACACGCGCGCTCCACCACATGGCAGAGATGCCTTGGTGTTGGGGAGGAGATGGTGCCATCGAGGGAGATTGGAAACCGAGCTGCTAGGAAGGCAAATATTGCGTTTGATTTGGACAGCAGACTTCATAGGCCTCGCAATTGGTTTTATTGCTTCTCGGAGCCGGCGTGGAGTGGATCGGAACGTTTTGGGTAGTGCTCTCGATCCACCCGAAGATGATGTAAATGTTCCGAAGCTCAGCCTTCAGAGTTTCTTTGTTTTGTACTTTCAGCATTGATCGTTTGCTTTAGATTGGCAAGGATGTCCCTCAGAGACTTGCAAGGGTCTCGAGGTTCGTACAGCGGAGGCTGCTCATGGGCTTCTTCCTCCAACATCATGCTGAGCATCCTAGCGGTTCTTGTGGGCTCAAAGATTGCTTGGCCGGCGGCGGGACCTTCTGACACGCCAAAACCGGCTTCGAGCTTCGCGAGCATATCTTCACTTACTTGGACGAGGATCTGGATTTGCAGATCGATGCGCGTTTCGAGGGTGAAGCCTGCCAAATTGATGCCAGGAAATAGCTGAGGCACGGGATGTTGTAGCGATAGCAAAACAGGCATCGAGTCATGAATGCAGGAAAATATGGTGCGGTAGATGCGGATGAGACAGATGTAGCTTGAAAAGAGAGAGAACATTGTCGGGACGTCGCAGCGCAAGCTTCCCGTGCAGGTCTGTACGGCGTTGGCGTCCGGGGAACAAGTGGGCGCTGGCGAGATCGATCTGAATGAGTCCAAGATGTCGAGTAGAGTCTTTGAATTTGCGAGCATTCGGCCGACGAGAAAAGATGAATTGTACGCCAGCTCGGGAGGTAGCGATAATTGAGCGCAGTCGGTGGCTGTTTTGCATGCCTTTACAAGCTCCAAATCCACGAGGATCTCCTTCTGCAGATCTCCGAGTCGCTTCAGACAGTCGCCCTCAGGGTTAATTTGGGAGTAGACCGGCTGATGGGTGTCTCGTAGAGGCTGGAATGCTTGTGATGGATCTAGGTTCTGTTGCAGACCGTCTGGCCACCCGTTTTCGAGACCATCGACAGTGATTGGTGCTGCCGGTAATTCCATTTCCCTGCTAGTGTTAGAGTCGGCCTCGGGAGCATCGCTTGGTGTTTGAAGCGTCTGATGGAGATGCCAGGTCTCCAAAGCATCGGATGGTTGTCGATTCAGCGGAGGGCGTCCTGACCTGAGAGCTGCTCCAGTGACACACTCGACATTGGCTTTCGAACATCGACGGCACTTTGCCGAGTTCGATGAGCGCTCGCATCGCAGCTTGTGGCGTCTGCAGCGATCGCAGGCAGACCGGCCGTTGCCCCTGCCATCACTAGGGGGATGAAACGTCTGCATACTTCCTGGTGATGGCGGATGCCATCTCAAGGACAAGTCGGGTGCGCCAATTGCAACGGCGGCCCCCGCTCTCGAACCTTCCGAGTTATGTGCCAAAGGTGTGCTTCTGGCCTCTGTTGGACCAGCGCCGACTCATGAAGGATCGGAGCTTTGCTTCTGAATTGGAGAGGCAGTAAATGTCTCGATGCTGGGATCAGGCCTCCAGCATTGCGCGTTGCGGCCAAGAGGAGAAAAGAAACGCGTGTGTCAGAATCGACACTTTATTCAAGTCACCAAAGATAGACCAATCAGAGCCCTTCCCAACTGCCCGGAAGGCTGAGGTACTGGGCCCCTGTCAAAGCCTATTAACACCATATTGTAGTATCCAATATCAGCTTAGACTATATCCTTTCCATATATGGTGCCATATAGCAAATAGATGACCCGTTCAAGAACACTCTCTACTCTACCTTGCACGTGATTCTGCTCGATAACACATGTTCAATCTTTTAATTAGAGGAGGTCTCAATAGCAGCAAGACTCGCGACACGATCGTCTTCAGAACAGGGAATCTCTCTCCTGCGGTATATCTAAAAACGTTCGATTCGCTTCAGATAGCCTGATGCAAGGGTTATAGACGGACCGCACCCAGGTGCTTGTCTCGTACGGCGGATAGATATTCTCGCTCTTGCCTTCGGGATCTGCCAGGACCTTCTGGCAGTGTCGGGTATGTCCCTCGCTGGCGAGCTCTTGGGGGATAAGGAAGTTGTCATCTTCTCTCGCCTTGCGGAGTTGCTCGAATGCATACCTAGCACCTGCGTCAGAGTCGTGCTGCTCAATCATGTGGATCTAACTAACTTGCAGTGCGAAACGTGGTAACTCCAGTGAACATACACCTCAACAGCTCGACTCAAATAGAACGACTCTGCCGGGATCTCGGTTGTTCCGTTGCGATCGAGGTACCACCTCCAAGGACCTTCCGCCAGCGCCTTCTCCGCCATGTCTTTGTAATAGCACTCGGCACCGAGGAAGCCGTAGTTCATGATGTCGAATGTGCAATTTAGCGCGCGTGCCTCGCTGGGGTGCGTTCCACATCTGTAGCTCCCAGAGATCTCGATGGGGCCATTCCAGGCGTCTTTGAATCCTGGCCGAGGAGAATTTGCTTGGTGAATCGACATAACTTGAACATATGAGCCAGGAACGTGCATCGTGAAGCTTGAGATTATCGCGGTGGCCACTGCCAGGCTTATGAGGCCAGCGGAGATGACAGCTGCTGCTGGAGCATCACAGAATATTTGCCATGCTGTCCCTGTCCATGGGGATACACTGAGAGGTAACCGCGGCTTCTCTAGATGCGTGGTGTCGGTGTTGTCGGCGAAGGGGACGCGTTCGTACTCGAATTGAGGCGACATGGTGACGAGGCTGGAGTGTGAGAGCGCTCCTCACCAACACTACGCTGGACAATGTGTGCGGATGGGTTTGGTGGACGACAGTCTCCTTGGAGGGATTTGGGGGTGTTCATCTTGGCTATCATTGGTGCGGCCTGTCCAGCTGGTACAAAGTACCGGTTTCTCGAATTCGGGGGCTTCAAACAGAACATTTTTCCAAGAAAGGTAAGTTTTGGAATTCCCAGGCGAGTGTACCGATGTAAGTCTCGGAGGCTATCCTTCGGAGGTGTGTAGGCTCGGAGATGATGTTCGGAGGCCGAGAAAGAACAGTTGCCTTCTCGGGCAAGCTCTGGAGCCGTCCGTTATGCTCGTATTACCATCCTTCCATCTAACTAGTAAGCTATGTTTCGCAGACCTTAATTCGACATCGCGTGCAGCATCCGAGCTTAATGGAAGACGATGCTGACGAGAATCCCCACCCACCACAAGAATTCGCAAGACTTTTCGCCAGCCAGTGCATTGCTCGAACCCAGTCTGGGCGCGCAAAATGCCCATAGCCTCTTGAAGCTGTGATCGGATGAGCTCTGGTCTGAGCAGCTCCATAAGACACACCTCGGTTGCATCCAGTGAGCTGGAATTCGGATGCACTAAGTTGGCATTACCACGAGGAGTATGGCTTGTACTGTCTGCACTAGCTCGCTATCGTCGCTCGGAAGAGTTTGAGAATGTAGAACCAAGCGTGTTGATTGATTGTCAAACTAGAACTACGAGGTATCGAAGGTGGAGAAAAACAAAGTGGTCATAAGAGTCCGCAATGTCACTCGCCCGACATGCCTAGTACATGATTAGGCCAATTATTGAATCGCCTAACATTCCCAATAGGGCGAGTCGACTTCGAAAATAAGTGGCACACAAGGCTTACGAAAAGAGGGTACGCCGCCAATAATGTAGAAGTGATTAACTATTGGCTATTAGGTCATCTTCACTTATAAAGGGTATCCTATCTACTCTTAAGTATAGCGGGATCCTTATACTTATTACTAGATAGTAGCTATTACTAAATAGGCGGTCCTCTCGTCGTTGTCAAGCAGTCTGTCATAGACCGTGCCATTTATCTATGAAGTCGGCTTGAGGGTTAGGGCAATAGGAAGTCGATGGTTCCGACGTCAACCACTGCTCGAAAAGCAGTATCGACAGAATCTACAAAGCTTACTATGACGCCGAACGCCATCTTCAATTGTGATGTTGACAGTGGGCATCTGGCGTTGAAATGTGCATTAGTGGATGGCTCAGACAAAAATGGAACTCAGACCCTCAGTGCTCAGAGATCGGCCCCCGAAACTTCCCTAGGAGAACTGGAACATAGTCTGACTATGAATACTAGAGAACACACACGCTGGGGATTCAGCGGATTGCTTTGTCATGTGTGGCCTACCCCGAGCAGTGCGGAAGCTGTTACGGCATCTTCTTCTGTCCATACTCCAATCCCTACTCGACCACGACGCACGCAATTCGAGCGCAGTCATTCGAGCTACTCCACAATCCCGAGATTTCTAGGCCGAAGCTGAAACGAAATGTATTTGTAGACACAACGGACTCGCCACTCGGCCAAGTGAACGCTCTATTTGTCGCGGTCCTGGCTACGACGCATACTTGGCGCACCGCACAGGCCTCATTCAATGGTCAGGTATTGAACGGGATACCAAACTCTGTCTCCCGGCCCCCCTTTTTCAGTAGAGCTTGCGCACAGTGGTTGATATGACCCTCGTTATCGTACCTTCCTTCCAAGGTCGTGCCTGTCAAATCGGCTCTCCACATCTTCTTCCAATAAAACATGCAGTGCAGCACATGCCAGTCCCAACTCACGTAGAACGTTGCTTCTGGATCCTCGCTTCTCAGCTCGATTTCTTGCAAACTGATCTCGACCGTGTACTTGTCTGCGCTTGATCCGTTGTAGTAGATCCATTTCCCGTCTGGACCCGGACCCAAGCGATCGAACGCCATGCTGAGCTCATGATCTATACAATGTGGTGGCAGCCACGCCGCAGACAGCATATCCAACTTACACCCTAGAGCTTTTGCTTGGGCAGTTGAGTTACCACAAAGGCATCGACGCTCATACTCATGAGAAGAGTCATTGAGTGCTTGAACTGGGAGATGGTGATGAACTAAGGCTTTTTGATTGTTGAAAAGTGAATTCTGACCCGGTTGTGCGAAGCGTAAGACTCTGTAACAGATACAGAGGAGGCCATAGAGTGCAATGGAATACAATGCTAGGCTGGCGGCAATACTCGATATCGCCCGCAGTCGTGAACGTCTTGGAGTTTCATTTCGTGATGATAAACCTTGTTCCCGAAATCCGGAATCTCGTAAGTTGTTCTGTTCACAGTCCTCCTGCAATAGTGCCTCTGAAGAAGCCGACGATTTAGCACTGTGGTATGATTGTTTAGAAATGCCGACAGGATAGTGTGGAAGATACTGACCTTTGGTAAATCTGCTCCATAAAATGTATTTGGGGGTGTCAAGGGAATAAGAGCACTGCGATACTTCAGAAAGATGAAAATAGAGCAGCGACCAGAAGCTGGTTCCCAAGGACTTTGTAAGCGGACCTGGCGGCGATTCTCCATGCACACCGTCGAGAGATTCGGAGCTAAGTACAGTACCCAAGGCGGATGATCGACGGCCTCCGAACGGCCAAACACCGACACTGATTGAATGAATTCAAAATCGGGAGACTCAGTGATGCGAGCATATTGACTCTCGCAACTTAGGGCCTTCCATTCGATCCGCAGAGGATGGTCAATAGTGAGCGACAGTCAGCTTCATTCTCCGGACGCGCCCCAGATCGGATGTCCCTATGATGGTGGTCCCTAATGCCTTACCACAAATCATGTAGTTAGCCAGTTCCCAATACGGCAGTTTTGAAACTCGGGGTCCACCACCAAACTCCAAACTACCTAGTTAGATATTATTCCCCACCTTGGGACTTGCTGCTAGAAGCGATCATCCATAACTCCCTTCTATTAACCAACGTTTCCACAGAGCAGCGACTGCGGTCGACAAATACGCCAGTGTCAGCTCCCGCAACCTCGAACTCTGACTCCTGCAGATTTGAAACATAAGGCTCTGAATCGTTTGCCAGCCGGATCAAGGGAAACAAGCCAAGACCCACACAACCCAAAACAAACAACTCGGCGTCATCAAGCTCGGTTCGAACTCAGTTCCGACAATCCTTTGAAGTTCGAGTCAACTTTGCGTGTGTCGGGGCCCGAGAAAGTGTGGCATAGAATAGATCAACGCAGCAAGGAATGACGACTAAGGGCTGATGGAACGATCCAGCCCGTCAACTGGTGACAACGGTTTTGTGCTGCCACTACTCGTACCTAATTCCACTGTCCTATCTTTTTTTAGCTTGACTGACATTCAAACAAACCCCAATGCCACCGGAATGGAAGATGATACAGGCTTGTTACTGATCCTTACTCTTGTTTGGATGAGGTAGAGCCTTTCATATCCATGGATCAATCTGTCCATCTGGCTAACAATGATTACCTGTGCCCGTGTTCTTTGATGAATGGTTAAGTTCGTCGATACACAGAAGTTGGTTGCTGACATTACCACGGTCAAAAGCCATCAGATCCTTCCGTCCCAGGCCAGCTCACCGCCTCCTACACATGGTCTCAAATTACCTGGTATAGCATAAGCTTTCTTGCCCCATTGATGCATATCAGATCTACGCGACTAAGCGGAGAGTCAATCTCACACTGAGCAGCAGAGAGTCAACCCCATTAGGCAGTTCGCCTCAGAGCTCTTGGGCTCTTGAAGGAATCTTCTGCCCATTTTGACGAGACATCTTGGGGGACACGATGCACATAGGTTTCACCCGCGGGTGCAATATCATGGATTATCTAATTGCTATTATCTGAGGACCACGGCCCTGAGTGACAAAATCGCAATATCGCATACGTCTTCGAGTCCATCTTAATACGACCAATTGTTCACGTCGGCGCCCCGATGAGACCTGCCGCGAATATGGAACCGAGAGCTTGCGATCAATGCTACCGAAGGAAACTGGCTTGTTCGAAAACGGAACCGAGTTGTGAGAGATGCATACAGACGGGAAGCGCCTGTACACAAAGCCTGGGCAAGTAAGTCTCTCCACCAGACAGGTTTGACGGCCATACAGAATTCTCCATGCCTTGATTGCTCGAGGCCGCGGCCACGCATGCTGATGATGGACTAGATTCATGGGGAAGCCCAAAAAGAGTCTGCAAGCTCAGAGACCGGCCTCGCCACCTCCAGGAGCACAAGCTTTCGAGCATGGCAGATTCGCTCAACAAATACAGTCGCGACTATCAGATATTCATCGTTCTCCCAGTAAGTAGCGTTGACGCATTCCAACCAGCATTAACCGCCCCAACACCTGCTCAGGGCCTGTCTCGAGAAAACGGCTCCCATCATCGGCGAGCGATCCAACACTGGGCTCTGGCTTCTCCTCAGATGACGCTGTCGACGCACGTAGGAAGCGGAAACACTTTGAGGTGGATCTGAATCTCCTTTGCAGCCTCGCACCGATCAAGGGAGATGCCGTTGCTGGCCACGCCCGAACTCCAACAGAAACTCACGAGCAGCCCCAGCACAAGAGGCATCAAAGCTACCCATCATTGGTGACTCCGCAGTCTCCCATTTTCTCGTCCTTGGGGCCCCGATTTCCACCGACGCCCATGTTGTTTGACGATTTATCGACTTCATTGCGGCTTGAAGATGCCTTCACAAAAGAGCAGGCCCCACATGATGAGTCGGACTTCCTCTTGACGGATTGGAGCGCGGCCTACATCTCGAAAGATCAGCTGGGTCCCACCCTCTCGACTAATGGGGAGTCATCGCCTCTCAGTGACCTAGTTGCGGACGGAACCGTCTCCGCTGCAGAAGAGGTTGCGGAGGGAGGGATGGGTGCAGAACCGCAACGTGTAGGCAAAGAGGCCACCACAATCAACGAATGTCATTGCGAATGTGTACCACGAGCTTTGCATATGGCATCACAGCTCCATGACTGCCTCGGAACTTCGCAAGGGGACTCCCTGGGGATAGTCTTATCGACCTGCCGCAGCGCGGTCGAACTGTGCAGGCAAAGCCAAGACTGTAAATGGTCGGAGAATCATCATGGCGCCCTCCTCTCGATCAATGTGGCGATCATGGAACTCGTCGCAAGCTGCTACGTCACAATAACGCTGGGCCCATCACAGCTACACTCCACAGTCACCTTAAAGTTCAGGGAGATGGAATTGGAGGGATTTCTGAGCCCACATGTGATAAAGGCCGTGGTTAACAGCGAAAGGAAACAGGCGGCCGCAACGTGTATCATGCTTGGCTCCAGATGTCGTGGTCCCCAACAGCGTCTATGGCTCGACCAGTTTGCTCAAATTTTCAACGGCCTCGCAAAGTCCTTCGCCGCATATGATGCGGGTCAATAAGAGTCGAAGACGTCAGAGTTCCCTTCGTACCCTTCTTGTCAACTATGCGGACACAAGGGTACCGAAATTGAAATGCGATAACGAGTCAAAACTGCTCGTGCTTCACTCTCGAATGGGACAAGCTTGCGTGGTGCCGTCTTGTGGATGTTGACCCAGTTGTCCCGAATTATCAACATGTCTCTAGTTGATCAGGATTTGGATGATACACTACTAAATGAGTAGTCGAAAAGGAGTAAAGCCAAGATCCTGAAGTGTCTCTGAGGGGATGAGTGAGGTTGATCATAGACTGTGCTGCTCTGCACCAGCCTTTTGGTCATTACTATGTAGCAAACGGACAGTGATGTACCCGTCGACGCCAAAGCCACAAAGTAGAGGTTGGTCGACTACGGCAAGGCTGGGGTGTGACGCGTTGGCACCGCCAAGACGAGCTGATAGATGTAGGGCACGAGATTGCTTCAGCTCGCATCAAATAACTATGGGAGTGCTACGAAACAATGAGCTGCTTCTCTAACCGCTTAGCAAATCGAATGCTCGGAAGGTCGACAAGGCGCCAAAAGAGGTCCGAAGCCCAAAGCATCAACGGCGTAGTGATCATCAGTGCCAAAAGAAACCCCACCTCTTTTTGACCTCTCGTTACCGTCTGCATTACTGGGACCATGTTCCAAGCTCCGGCTGCTAGGATCGGCCAGTGGATAAGATACAACGAGAATGATATGTCCCCGAGGTAGCACATCAAGGAGCTACTGAAGAAAGCCTGCAGCAGGGGCAGTTTGTAGATCCCTAGAAGCATGAGGGCCATGCCGATGGACATGACGTTGTCATTAAGAGGGATGATTTTGGAGATCGTTCGGTACCCTGGTGTCGAAGAACCGTAATCACCCTGTGCGATGGGAATAGAGGCCAGCCAAATGCCACTGACCAGGACCAGGGTCCAGAGGCCACTGCGGATGATCTTGAAGGCTGCTGAGCGGCCACCCATGTCGATATTATTGTTTTGGCTGGCACCGAATAGCTTCTTGCGAATGTGGAACTCTGCGAAGAGCATACCGACGAGGAAGCAGGACAGGTCTCCACGATTGGCCCATCCTGCGTAGAGAACCATGTTGACCAACGTGAATATCCTCGCTGATGGCTTCAGCCGGCTTAGCGCTATGGTCAATGCGAAAATTTGCAAGGAAGACCAGTATTCCCTTGGGATCGTCCAGAACGTCGCCGAATACACAGACCGCGTGATATTGGAAAGTGGTTTTAGCCAACCCCAAGGATAGATGATTATGCCGAGAAGATATTCGACTAGATCTGCAAACTGTTCAATCAAAGTGTGTCGACGGATCGGATACCCAAGTCCGACACTGGCAGCGAACACATTTGATACCTCATAGAGGCGGAGTCGAACACCAATCATGACAAACAAGGCTGCGACAATGGTCGGTATAAATATTCGAAAGCCGCGGCGGAAGAATGCGGATGCGACTGTATGGAATAAGCGGTCCCAGTCTCTTTCGTACATAATTTCAATCGGCGTGACTGATAATGCAAAGCCTGAAAGAATAAAGAACATCTTCACCCATGCGGGACCAGAGTAAATGAGGCGGATTCCGGGAAGTTGCAGGAACGTCGGTTGGTCATATTCTCGTATAAGGTCGCTGTAAGAGCGCATGGCGAAGTGTTCGATAAAGACAAAGAAAGATGCCATTCCTCGCAGACCCAGAAGATATGTCGTCGATCCAAAATCCTTAGTATTTGTCGAAGGATAGTTGTTCCCCACCAAGGCCATTAGAGGGGATGGTAGAATAACGAAGACTGCCATCGCAGCTCGATGGAGTGTCGCCAGCCTGCTCCTTCGTATCTCAGGGAGATGGAGATCCAAATCATCGTGCTCTTCGTGCAGTGTTCCATCCCTACTTAAGGCCGGCGACCAAGTCTCGACGTTGCCATCGCTGCTGTGCTTGTCGTAGCTGGGCTCAGCTAGAGACTCAAACGTTGCCATGGTCTCTTAATCGCACTGCTGAGCCGAGAGCCAATGCAAAACTTGCTACCACGAATCCTGTTATCAACGCAAAAAGAAATTTGGAAGCCTGTGACTGTACAGCAAAAAAATGAAAAAGGGATACAATTTGAGGACAGTGGACAAATTGACGGGACAGCAATTCGACCACGCATCGAGTAGAGAAGAAGGCTTGCTCATTGAACTCCATACTGTACTCGTGATACGACCGCGCTGCGCCGGCCGGCGTCGTAGACAGCGCGAGTCTTTTGGAAATCGGAAAGCTGACTGGCACCGACCGGAGGCGGAGGGGCTCCGACAGTACAGCCGGCCGAGTTTGATGGTGTCCACGATGTTGTCAGCCGTGCTTATGTAACGCTGGCACCTCCTTTGCTGTGGATTTCGGGAAGTCGCTCGAGCGAGAGTGCCGAACTTCAATCTGATACTCGGAGGAGGATGTCTCGTTTCCTGCATGTGTCGACCGACCGTGGGCCTGCCGAGACAAGTGCTGGATTCAATCTGGGAAAGTACTTACTAATGCATAAAAGACATCAGGGCCTTCCCAGGAGGTTTCTGGCACACATCACAGTTCACAAGTACACTTTCGCAAGAGGGAGTAATCAGAAGCAAAGATGAAGTTCGAATATCTCCTCGCAATTCTGGCTGCGGCAGGGACAAGCTTGGCCTCCCCTATTCCTGGCCGTATGTGCCCCCCTGCTCTTACTCTTGTGATTGACTCTAAACGTGGTGACAGCGAACGCTGCGGAAGGGCCTCTCGCTGCCCGTTCGCCAGTGTTGCTGGAAAGAACCGCCAGCGCGGACCGATTTCCTGTCGGAAAGCGTGAACCAGAGCTGGTCGAAAGGACCGCCAGCGCGGACAGGTTTCCCGTCGGAAAGCGTGAACCAGAGCTGGTCGAAAGGACCGCCAGTGCGGACAGGTTCCCTGTCGGAAAGCGTGAGCCAGAGCTGGTCGCAAGGACCGCGAGCGCGGACAGGTTCCCTGTCGGAAAGCGTGAGCCAGAGCT